GACGTCACACCGCCCGTGACGTCATCACTTTCCCTTACTACACACAATATTTACCGGGAAAATTTCACGTTTAATATACTCTCACATAGTTTACAATTATGTGGGCCTGCGGGCCGCTCCAAGCAACAGCCTGGTGGACCAAACTCTCACAAGTCAAGCCTGGCCTCGGGCCGGGCTTGGGAGAGTAGAACTCCCATCCCCCATCAACCAGGTATCAACCAGGTATCAGAGGTCTACAGCAGGTAATACAAATTCTCAGAGATACTCGTTAATAAGTACATCTCGGGAATTTGCATATAAATGTTGATGCAGGTGTCGGCAACATTTATCCATCACCTAATTACACTTAGGTGATGGAATAATTATCTGAGTGTAGTTACAGGATGAGAGCTACGCTTGTGGTGTCCCGTCTTCCCAGTACTCTTTGTTGCTTGACCGCTCGCTGTACGCACGACCACACTCACGCTCGTCCATACACACGCACGACCGCTGGTGGCTGAATGGACAGCACGTTGGATACGTAATCCGGCGAGAAACAAAATAGGGAAAGTTTCTTTCACACTGATAACCGTTACCTAGCGGTAAATAGGTACCTGGGAGTTAGACAGCTGTTACGGGCTGCTTCCTGTGTGTGTGGTGGGGGGGGGGATTAGTTAGTAGTTGATTGATTGACAGTTGAGAAGCAGGCCGAAAGAGCAGAGCTCAACCTCCGCAAGCACAACTAGGTGAATACACTCTCGTCAGTACACATACTGGTTCAGATCAAGTTCCAAGTAGCACGGGCTATGGTGAGCCCATAGTGGACTTACCTGGCATAGGAGCGGTGCTCCTTTTTTTTCTTTACTTGGGGCGTGGCGGTACACCTCTTATGTATGACGCGAGCGGTTGACGTAACTACCACCAACCACTTCCGCATGATGCTGGAGGTGGGGGAGAGTGGGGTGAGCGGGGGAGGAAGGGGGTGACAGGAAGTAACAGTGAGCAGCACCTCAACAGATGCTCGGGGGGTGTACACAAGGCCGCCGCCATGATGGACTTCCACAATGGACCAATGAGAAGCAATCTCAGAGTTCCTATTATATTTTATCACAGAATAGGATAAGACTTTCTACAGTTGAGAGGCGGGACCAAAGAGCCAGAGCTCAACCCCCGCAAGCACAAATAAGTGAGTACTAAGGCCTGACTAAGACGCCTTACTAGAAAAAAAACACAATGTTGATAATATTGATAATAATAATAATAAAAAAACTTGCAGTAAACATTTGGAAGCCTAGTGTGTCTATCTAGTCAAATTATTTAATTTTCACTATTATTTTTATATCCAGTGACGCGGCCATCATCCGATAACAACCTTGACTTTCAGTATCACTGTAATTATGGTGACGTGTTGACCCCGAGCTTTCTTAAAGGGTCATTGACCTGACGCTCTTGTGACGAGGTGTACACTTACACACCCTACAACCTAGCAAGTCAGTAGACTTGCTAGGTTGTGAAGTCAACAGGAAATGCCGAGGAGGGTAAAAATATTATAAAATATTACTATTAAAATCACGATTTTTGCTAGGCCAAGCTAGAATATGCAGCGGTTGTGTGGTGCCCATATCTTAAGAAGCACATCAACAAACTGGAAAAGGTGCAAAGACATGCTACTAAGTGGCTCCCAGAACTGAAGGGCAAGAGCTACGAGGAGAGGTTAGAGGCATTATATATGCCAAAACTAGAAGACAGAAGAAAAAGAGGTGACATGATCACTACGTACAAACAAATTAGGTGAGAAGGTGGTGAGGCCAAGACCGTCAGTAGTTTCCAAGCGTTATATGACAAAGAGTGCTGGGTAGACGGGACACCATGAGCGTAGCTCTCATCATGTAACTACACTTAGGTAATTACACACACACATACATATACCATAATAACTGTTTCATCAGTTGATTGACAGTTGACAGACGGGACCAAAGAGCCAAAGCTCAACCCCCACAAGCACAACTAGGTGAATACAATTGTACGACCCAAAAAAAACAGTATGACAAATAATAGTTAACGCAGCCATCCACAAAAGCCACTTAAGTTGCAAGTAGGATTATTAATGATTAACTAATTATTGTAAGCTTCAACCACAGAAAGATAGAGTGGGAAAACAGAAAACTTGAAGGAGGTAGCTAGGGGGAGCTTCACTAAGAGACACATCTATTAAAAAACTAGTTGGGCCACTCTAAAAAATCTGGGAGTAATGACGAGTTAGCCACACATAACCTGATACTCATTGAGGAATGAGTCAGATAAACACAGATAAAAAGGAAGTCAATTTGTATGCAGCCGTGAGAATGAGCGGTCACTGTGTACACACACTTGATTATCTGCTGGAAGCTGTAATGACCTCTTCAGAGGGACGACTAATAGGCCGCCATACTGCAGGGAGAATTATAAGGAAATTAAATCTATTAATTCGGACAAAGAAAAGCACATATAAACAAATTGGCCGAGTTTCTTTCACCTGATGCCGTTGTTCACCCTAACAGTAAATAGGTACCTAACAATTGAATTCTCGGGTACCTCAGGTACTCAGGACAATTTTAAGGCACCTCAGGTACCACCTGAGAATTGAATATTGTTCAATTCTCAGGTACTCATATATGGTGCAACGTATATGGCAGGTACTCAGGTGTTTGCTATATAGGTTGCAACTTGAAGATGTGTGCGTGTGTGTATGAGAGAAATGTATGTAGTATATATGATAGAGGAAAATAGGTCGAGTCAGTACATTAGACAACCGACGGTTAGACAGGCGGGGTCCAAGAGCTAATAGCTCGATCCAGCAGGAACAAATAGTGAGGATAGACACACTTTGTACAATCGTGTTGATCAGTTACCAACAGACCTCACCTAGCCTCTTGTGTTTTGCTTGTTGTTATTTACTTAACGTACACATAGACATAACAAAATTATCGAGGATGCATGAGGTCTGTTGCGCAATAAGCAAATATTTACAGGAAATCACATCGTATCGCTCACCTCTGTCAATTAAATAATTAACTGCACCTGCACCTCCAACCTTGAACACGGCCATCGACCAAAATGTTTACCAACAAACTACACTGTAACAAATGTTTAGCAACAAATACAATCATGCGAAAACATCACAAGGGAGCATCATTAAGACGCCATGAACACGCTCAGGGAAAAAAATAAGACATTCAGATCGCATAATGTGGATATTACTGGGCTTTCCCGGCATCAACAGTTATCTGAGACGTAAATACATTGGCGGCAAATTGACCCGAAAGCCTAAGCGTCTCTATCCCTTTGAGATGTATTTATTGCTTATCTCAATAAACATACTTGAACTTGAACTTGAACTTAACCCGAAAGCTTAATCGAGTGTTTGACATGATTATAACATGCTAGGTATCCTTTTTTTTATTAACATGCTTAGGTACACCCAACAAAATCTGCTACCTGATTTTATATGAAGGATTACAGAGTGGAGATCAAGAGCTACTTATGAGTTCATCAAAGACGCAAAGTAAAGGAGATAAGAGACAGACCAAAACTGAAGACAGGAGAGTGCAGGTGGTTTCTGGTAGCAGATCATTTTATGATTTCATTCAAAATGATCTGCTACCAGAAATTTTAGCCAAATATCCCCAGTTTGCTAACTGTAGGTAGTAACTAAGTGATTGTAACTTATCCACCGCTGCCCACTGGATGGGGGGCGGTGTGCAGGACAAACAAATTTTGACACTAGCTCTCCACATATGTCAGTTGCTTATTTTAGAACCTGTACTTGAGGTCGATCTCGAACCCAGTGTTGATGTGACGACTTATATTGAATTTTGTAACTAGCTCATCAAGATTGTAACTTGCTTAGCTAAATGAATTGTGGGGTTCAGTCCCTGAGCCCATTATGTGCCTCTGTAACCCTTTCCACTACCGCCCACAAGATGGGTATGGGGTGCATAATAAATGAACTAAACTAAAAAACTAACTCCTGGTGGTAGATGGGGGAGAGAACGTATAGTCCTTCACCCAGCCAGGCAGAACTAACCCTCTATATGTCTGACGACAAGCAGGGACAAAACCAGAAGAGTGACAATGTACAGAATAGTAATGTCAAGTGAGTATATTATGTCAATAATATACTCACTGATGGATGCCTATATACTACTAATATACTCACTACAAATGCAAAACTATGCAGACACCAAGAGCCCACAGACAGTACATACACTATCTACGGTAAACAACGATGCAGCCACTGAGAGGCTACAGAGGTAGACAGATTAGGGGAGGTTAGCTAGGCTTCGCAGGAGCAACAGTTCCAGCAGCACTGACGAGGGCAACAGTCAGCGTATACGGTCAGGCACACCCGCCATGGTGCTCTCACTCATCACTCTCAGTTAATGAAATGCATATTGCCGCAGCTAGAACTTGGGTTGATTTAGTTATATTATGTATATGATAAATCTAGATGACGTAGTGTCGGCATTTGTGGCCGTAATAACACCAGAGCGAGAGGAAGCAAAACCTTGAAGTGCGGCTTAAGCACACAAGGAGAAGAAAAGGGACACAAACGTCAAGAAATATCTCCTCCATGTATGGCCTTGTTCGGAAGCGCTGTTCAAAGACGACCGACCTTGATCTCTGACTTCGGGAAGATGTTGTACACGAGGAAGCGGAAGTCGCCGCCGCGCCTCGCGGAACGAACAAAGACCGGCCCATGGAACCCAAGCGTTTTAAGATAAAAAAAAAAAAAAAAAAAATGCAACATCGAGAACACAAAAACGTCGAAATACAAACAATGATTAGTGAAGACTTGTATGGTGTACACTTCCTAGTCTGGATTGGATACCTGTCAGTGCTGTGGTCTGGATAAGTAATGTAAGTAGGTTTCAGGTTGAATTTCATAATTGTTAGAAATATTATACTTACCTTGAGTGTTGAAACTTCAGGGTTTCTCTCCGTCTCTGTATCTGTGTCTATGTCTTTCCCTCCCTGCTTACCTGACGAGGTAGAGCAGCAGCTGCTTGGGTGGGACGTAGGGCTTGGGCATCCCCCCGCCCGACTGGGAGTGTGAGGTATCCCGCCGGTCGCGCCCTGAGGTGAGGGAGAGGTGAGCTAGGTGCTCCGCCAGCCTCAGTGACTCCCGCAGTTCCTGCAGGGATAACATCTTTCTCCTGGTGGGCACTCCCTGCCTCCTGGTGGGCACTTCCTGCCTCCTGGTGGCACTCTCTGCCTCCCGGTGGGCACTTCCTGCCTCCTGGTGGCACTCCCTGCCTCCTGGTGGCACTCTCTGCCTCCCGGTGGGCACTCCCTGCCTCCTGGTGGGCACTCCCTGCCTCCTGGTGGGCACTCCCTGCCTCCTGGTGGCACTCCCTGCCGCCTGATGGCACTCCCTGCCTCCTGATGGCACGCCCTGCCGCCTGATGGCACTCCCTGCCGCCTGATGGCACTCCTTGCCACCTGATGGCACTCCCTGCCGCCTGATGGCACTCCCTGCCGCCTGGTGACACTGCCTCACTCTTAGAGACAATTTGTACGGTTGTATCCTTGTGTCTGTTGATCCGACCTGGCGCTATATTTTGCGGTCCGGAATCTTAGAAAATGAACGATGTCTCCAAGTATAAACTTAGTTAAACATGGTCTTCAATTTTAACCTTTGTAACTAAACAAGACCTTGACCTGTGATCTTGGGGGTTAGACGTGAACAAAGTCTTGAATTGAGATATTGATAGATGAAGGAAACCTTGATATACAACTTTTGAAGATGAAGGAAGAGTGGAAAAATACCTTCACATCTTGTAAGGAAGCGTTACTAAGACGCCAACGACCCTGAGATCCTCAATAAATTTAATTATTTATATTCTTTTCGCAATTTACGTCCCTGTTCCCAATGTCGGCATCCAGTCTCTTGATTAGGCTTTCCGTTAAATAATCACGTACATGGAACTGTAACCTAGATTATTGCGGACAAAAGATGAGGTTTTGGTTCTGCAGGATAACTGCTGTACTGTAGAGGTCCTTCAGCTGCATTCTGAGACAGAAGTATGGAGGTAGAAGAGCCTCAGAAGGCTGTAAGACGTCCCTCGCAGACTAGAAGACTCGAGGCTGTCCGGAACACTGTTCGGGGTCTCAAGGGCAGCGGGATGCTTGGAGAGCAACTTGATATTACAACGTAAATGTTTCCCAAGACGATGAAGGTGAATAGAGGCAGCCTCGGAGGCGGTTGTGAGAGACGGGCCAAGTTTTCTGACTAAGAGCAGCACAACAAACACGCAAGACACCAACAAGATGAGATACGCTTCGAACTCGCTTGACACCCCCCAAAAAACTTGTATAAAAAAGCACAAATAACTTATTATTAAATATTAGTGAGTTGCATTTACAGTGCATAAGTTTGGACACGTTTCTGTTTCATCTGAGACGGCTTATAATTAAGCCATCCTATGCCGTCTTATGTCGACCAAGTATGAGGGTATTGATGGCAGACTCACTCGTCCCTGGTAACTCCTGCAGAAGGCCTCGGCAATCAACTCCTTAAAATTTCAAGTGAAAATCCTTACATGCCAAAGGAGATAAAAGCACTAAGAGTGTGAAGAGAAGGATCCTTCGCCAGCTAGACACACGCACGTCGCTCCAGTCCAGTTATAAGCGGACTGGACACTTAACATTTCGGATAGAGGACACTAAATTCCTTATAGCGAATTCAGAACGCAGTTGGCACTTTACATTTGCGTCAGAAGTTGTTAATTTAATTATTAACACAAAAACACTCATGGCAGAGCACACTTGAGTCCGAAGGAACGGTACTCTTCAAAATCGAGGCAGGAACGCTTGGCACTATGTACTTGAGTCACATGAGTTAACATACACTTCATAGTGATGCTTCAGGTAGCGGATCACATACATAAATCACAAACACTTTGACACGGACGATGTCTCTCGGCATCACGGGAAACAATATCGAGCTTCAAATTTTTGTGATCGTGAGTGATCAGTGGTTCTTGTTAGCAGAGTGGGTGGTAGGCAGGAAGGCGCGGTAGGCAGGTAAGCAGAGGCATTAAGTGAGGCGTGGTGGAGGCGTGGCGAGGGTTGCGTGGGAGGAGGGGGAAGGAGGAGGAAGAAGGGGAGGAGGCGCGCTCTGCGACACCTTAAACACGACTGGTTGGATGCTCCTCCGTCTTCCTGTTTATATGTGCGTGTGTGTACTTCCCTAATAGCTCTTGCCTAAGACAAATTTCCTTCAGCTCATGGGTCACGTTTTTATAATTGTCGGTTGTCTAATGCAATGACTCGCGATGTGTTTCTTGTCAACTCTATAGTTCAAACTATTGATAGTGGGAGCCTCCAGTATTTGCTCCTCTAGCTGGTTCCACTTGTTTACTGACCTTACACTGATGAATCCCTCACCTCCCCGCGGCAGATCTGTGTGCCTAGCTTGCATGAATGTCTTTTTCGACCTAAACATTCTGTTCATATATTTTATAGATATAACTAAGTATTTCGTATGTCTGGAGTGTGGCTCCACACTACGTGCTCTGGTACTGGTTGGACATTTGCTGTGTAGTGTTGTGTCTTTTACTATATGAGAATCTTGACTTTGGCCAGCTCAGCATATGATGGTGATGTGGTTGTGTGTGTTGACAAGTTGTGTTGACTTGTGTGTCTAGTGAGAGATTTGTGTTGTGTTGCTGCCAGATCTGTCCTCTCGCACTAGTGACGTCCTTCTTTTCATGGTACGTTATTCTTCCTCTAGCTTACTGAGACTTGCAGCCGTGCTTAACACCTCACCTAGTAGGGGGGGGGTAGAAATAGCCTAAGCTACTCTATCCCTTTGAGATGTATTTATTGCTTATCTCAATAAACATACTTGAACTTGCACTTGAAACTTACCTAGTACCCAGTTGTACCATCATGCTTGTAACCTCTGTCTTCTGGAGCTTCCTCAAGTCCTCACTCCAGATTTTCTTAGTTAATTCTTCATGATTCGCGAACAGTGAGCGTAGGGTGTATAGTGCTTCAGCTATTTCGTCAACAAAATCTAAGAACATAATTGGCCCCAGTATTGACCTTGTGGGATTCCACTTAAGACATTCTAGCATTCCAAATTTTCCTATTGTTGCTACTCTCTTGTATGGGTTTCCCACCAAATACATTACTGAGCCAGTTTTTCTGGTCTTATTGTGATGTTTGTACAGGAGCCTCTTATGTGGGACAATGTCAAATGTTTTATGGCAGCCTAATAGACGCCTGTATATATCCATCCTTTTCTTTCCTGTTAGAACTCAGTTGTTTTATCATATAACTCAGTTGTTTTATCATATAATTTTTTTATACTTGTCAGGCGGGACTTTTCTTCACCTATAGTAGTGTTCTGTTGTCAAATTATCTATCTTCGTCTGTTCTATTATTTTTTTCCCATTTATTCTCTTTAGCACTTTAGAACCTCTCGTATTGTTCATCACATACTGGGGCATAATTCACTCTCAGTTTCCCCACTTATCTTGTTAAGTCTCACCACCTGATTGATGATTGTGGTGGCGGGACTTGGTGGTGGTGTTGCGGGTTGTGTTGGTCCTCAGTACTGAGGCTGCGTCACCCTGCTTCTCTAATGATGCCCTCTCCCCACTAACCACAAGATCTAATGTTAATTAACGGCAATTCAGTGTTGATTCAACATTGAACTAACGTTATTCTTGGAAACTGTTCGTTGATTATTCTTATGCCACATTATTTGTCTCACTTTCTGGATACTTTTACGTATGTTCCCACGAACGAGGCTTCGGCTTCCCTGTGCTGCTTATTGAACCGTGGGCCGCGTTGATGCCTTGGTACAGTCACTTTGTTGAAGAATGTCATTGTTATTGTTTTAGATTCAGCTACTCGGAACAAAATTTCCATGTAGCACAGGCTATGGTGAGCCCGTAATCCCGAGCCCTATGGGAAGCTGAAGGTAATGACGAGTTACATGAACCAATTGGTTATTGCCGCAGGAAATCAGCTGGTTCAGGTGTGATCAGCTGTTTCAAGAGATACATCAGCCAGTGCAAATCAGCTGTATCACATCACTCAATTACTCCAAACAGTTAATCACCTATTATAATAATATCCCCCAAGGTCTAACTACTGACCCTCTCTCCAGGATGCAACTCCACAACAAGCTGGCTAACTGCCGGGGTACCTGTTTACTGCTAGGCGAACAGAGAGACAAGTTACAGCCCAGCTCTTGTGCCAGGTAAGTCCACTACGGGCTCACCATAGCCCGTGCTACTTGGAACTTTTTGTTCCAAGTAACGAATCTTAAACAACTACATAGACGAACAGAGCCACTAGGTGATATTAAACGTGCCCTTGAATCGAACCCGGGATTTCAGATTGAGAGTTGAGACCGAGCCCGACTACACTACCAAGCTCTATTTCACGTTACTCTCTCAGCTGTTCCGGAAAGAACAGTATCTGCACCCTGGCCGGTGAACTTGTTTTCAGAATTCTCATACGATTTAATTATCTTCAACCGAAAGGGTAGTTTGTGCAGCAGGCATAAGCGGCCAGGAGGCGGGGGATAGAGCTGGATCTCGCCCCTCCCCTCCTAGTCACTGATAGGTAAGTACAGAGACAAACACGTGACACCAGGAAACTCAAACTGTACCTCACACACACCTGCCTTTCTTAACTCTACCCAAGGATGGGTAAACAACTGTACACTTTTTATCAAACTTCTGAAGTCAATAATTTATGCATATTTTGTAGATTTATTTACGTTAACATTTTCATAACTTGAAAATAGTGCCAGGTAACGTGCACATTAGCAGCAGGACTCGTGGGCCACGTAACGTGCACATTAGCAGCAGGACTCGTGGTCAGACAACGTGCACATTAGCAGCAGGACTCGTGGTCAGACAACGTGCACATTAGCAGCAGGACTCGTGGTAGACAACGTGCACATTAGCAGCAGGACTCGTGGCCAGGTAACGTGCACATTAGCAGCAGGACTCGTGGTCAGACAACGTGCACATTAGCAGCAGGACTCGTGGTAGACAACGTGCACATTAGCAGCAGGACTCGTGGTCAGACAACGTGCACATTAGCAGCAGGACTCGTGGTCAGACAACGTGCACATTAGCAGCAGGACTCGTGGTCAGACAACGTGCACATTAGCAGCAGGACTCGTGGTAGACAACGTGCACATTAGCAGCAGGACTCGTGGTCAGACAACGTGCACATTAGCAGCAGGACTCGTGGTCAGACAACGTGCACATTAGCAGCAGGACTCGTGGTAGACAACGTGCACATTAGCAGCAGGACTCGTGGTCAGACAACGTGCACATTAGCAGCAGGACTCGTGGTCAGACAACGTGCACATGTAGAAGCGTGTGGTGGCTCTAAGATATCAAAATTTACCTTGAGATCATCTTGGCCGACAGGGGAACAGACACGGTTTGTATTCTATGCTCATAAGCATCGGTCATATGCTTTATGAATACCATATAACAAACATTCTCATAATTATCAAATGATTACGTTCGAACGTTTTTTCAGACACTGCGTTGTTCATTTACGAGGCTCAGTTAAGTGCACCTCAAAATAAATAAATACATGATAACAATTAAATAAATACATGGTACGGGAACTAGCCTTATAAGTAACATTTCCGTATTATGATGATTGATCAAAATATAAAGCAAATGTATTATGAACATTAGAAAATGTCGCATTTTCATAATAGCAATATTATGCGCCATGCGTTTGGACAATGACGTCATAGTTTCCAAACCAGAACTAAGAATGTCAACTCTGAGAGTATTCCGTGTAGCGGAGAATGACGCGGCCGCCAGCACCATCTAGAGGCGGCCCTGACTACTACTTCACCAGAACACCCACCGGTGAAAGTGGTTCTCCGGGCATAGGTATATAGGTCAATAACAGGACCAACTTCCGCCAATCATAACGTGGCAAATTCCAAAACACGGGTTTCTATTGGCTCTCACAAGGCGTGTCGCGGACGGCAGGGAGGAACGTCTTGACATTGAGCATAGAGGAAGAGGAGCGGAAATACGTCATTGCGCGCGCAAGATTGACCTTCCGGTGGGGGTGGCAAGGGGACGGGGGAGAGGGGGTCGCTTCCTTCCGTATTGACTCAGCATGACCACCTTACATGACAGAGCCGCCCTTTATGAATGCCTTTTCCTCCTGTATTGTATGATTACGTGTCTACATGTATGAGAATGTCAGCAGCCTTCATCATATCCCGTTTCCACTGACAAGAAGGGAAGACGCTGTTCGGAGAACCAATATACTGAGAACATCTTACACACATACTGCCTACTACTAGACATTTGTACCACACCGTCACGGATCCAGAGGACCACTACCGGACCACCACTCTACCCATAATACACAGCTTCATACCATCAATCCTTGAGGGGGGGGGGGGGGGTCCCGGTAGTACAGTCGGGTTCGTTCTAGACGCAAAATCGAGAATTGAGAGTTTGAATCCCCGGGCGGGACAGAAATGGGTGGGCACATTTCCTTTCACCTAATGCCTTTGTTCCCCTAGAAGAAAGTAGGTGTCCGGGAGATAGCTTGTTCGGGGGTGTGCCTTCTTTGAAAATTTGTTGTGGGGTTGCATCCTGGGCGGGGTCAGTAATTCGGCCTCGGGGGTGAGGGGAGACCTCGGGGGCCCTAATGTGTATGACTACACTCTGGCTTCCTGTCCCCCAGACACAACGAATTATCATTAATTATATACTCCACCTAAAATGTCACAACTAAACATGCTAATCGCAAGGTCTACCAAAATGCTGTATACAGTACACTCGCTTAACTGAATATATAAATACATCCCAAGAAAAAAACATTTTATGAGATATTCTGCAATATAGTTTATAAATAATAATTAGTATTACATTATCACAATAATTATACCTGCTAGAGGTCATGGCCACTCCCCCGCGGGGAGTGGCCATGACCCCTTACAACATACATAGGCCTTGAACCGATCAATATATAAAGTATTAATTATAAATAATGTAAGTGATACACAGAACATGTTATATTTTTCTGGGAGTGTAGCTATACAAGAGAGAGACACCCAACTAATTATTCTGTACAGGGAGCAAATTATTTTAGTACCATCATAAGATTTTTGTTGGCCCCATTTTTTTCCAGAAGCGAAATAAATTTAAAACTCTATGGAGTAATCTACAAACATTTCACATTGTCCAGCCATTCAGGGCTATGGTACTACAGTATTGTAATAGTATTACTGTATGCCAATGTTCTGTGCTTAAGATGAGTTTGAAGTGCACAAAGAAGTGGTGGCAGATTTGTGGAATAACACAGCCCAAACTTAGTTAAAACTCATTACAGGTACATGTAAAAAAATAAAGAATAAGTTACTATTTTACCTGATTTGCCTGATGTAAATCAGGTAAATTTACATTTACTATGTAAAACATTAACTAAAAAAATTAATAAAAATTTGCAAGATTTATAAGAATCAATATCAATTACAAGAACCAACACTATATCTTTATCCAAAGATATAGAAGACCTAACAAAATGAATCGAATCCATGATGCTAAAGTCTAGTCTAAAAGAGCTGGAAGTAGTACTGACTTGAAAGTAAAAGGACAAATCATGGCTTCACACTGACCATGTAACACAGAGTAACTTCCTTCACGGGGCAAAAATTGCACAGCAAGAGCGCCCAATATTTTCAAAGATGCAGTGCTTACATGATGTGTTCCCCATGTATTAAACATTGCAACACAAACACTTAAAACAAAGTAGACAACACTAGATTCAAGATCGAAGGGTAAAATATCTCTATGGGTCGGACTCCTTTGGTATTTACACCCACATGCTCTGACTGGATAAGTTTGATGTTTTGTCCGAGGACAAGTGTAATGGTGTGGTGAAGTGTACAATAAATAAAACATGAAAGCACAAGTTTTCAGCATTTTATGCACCAATAGTACATACATAATTGTCCTAATTACAATAACATCAGATGAGCAGATGTTCACATATATGTACACATTATCACCACAACTTCAAAACTGCAGTAGCCTAACTGACATAACTCCTTTCAACTGAAATCTGACTTGGGGCATTCCATTGAACTTGTTAAATCAGTAACAAGCATCAAAAGTGGCACCACAGTTCAGAAGGCAGCATTATAGCCTCTCAACCCACTCCGTGTGAGCTCAATCTTACAACATAGCGGCACCTGGCACTCCTAATCCTTGTGGCATGAGCTCAATGCTCTGATCCACCTAGAGGTGCATGTCATATGTGGCATTTAATCAGATAATGACTACCGTGTCCAGCTCCCAGACCAGGCATACTCTTCTGGTCTGGGAAACTGCCTGCATAACTTTCAGAAGCAATGCAAAGAGTTACCCACTACCCTTGTATCTTGATGAAGAGTATTATTGTAGCACAATATACAGTAGAAACAGATGACAGTTATACGCTTCGGGTTGCCATTACCCTCATTGCTGTTACAGAGCTTGGGCTATTATATAGCTGACACAACTGTCAAATATTTACTACAGCATGATCAAATAGAGTTCAAGATTTACACAAAGCTTCTACACAGATGAATGAGAATTGCAGGCATACATACAGACCACGTTCCATCGACTCAACATTTAATTAAATTAAGACAACAGATTATACAACAGGCATTCATAAACTGATTGTCAAATTCTGTGTAAAGATAAAATTCCACATAAATAGAAAATCTTTGACAGAAAGTTCTGAACGGATTTCTCAAACACAAGTATCCGGGGCAGCTTCTTGCTGATGTTTTCAACACACACACTGACTAGTAGCAGCATCAGTCAGACCTGACACAAGACATGGTCTTTCAAAACAGTTGTCACATACTGCAATGTGGACACTTAACACTGTATAATTAATGAAGGTATGTACAAGACTAATTTCTAAACTTTATAAGCATTATAAAATTGATGTGATACTTGTCACATTAGAGTAAATTGAGCTTTGCAAAAATATCACATAAAAGTCTCTCTTGAGCTGCTTCTCCCTGCATCAAATAATAAATTACCTTAAAATGCCACCACCACCCTCAGTACACAAGAATGCATAGATCCATCAGTCCACATGCCACATTTTGAGGAGCATACAGTAGCATTGGCATGGCACGAAGATAACATTTCCCTCGGTAGTGATGTCTGTATGGCACGAAGAAAACACTTCCCTTGGTACTGTGATGCATGCATGATACATGGATCTAGCATCATGCAAGAGAAATGCTACCCTTGGTACAGTGGTTTTGGTATTACTCAAAAGGTAATGAATGCTTCACCATTCAGTAGTGCCAGCATGAAATGAGAGTAACAGTCCTCTTGTTATATCTAAACAGAACTTTTAAGGGTAACAATTCCCTCTTATGTCTAAGAAGAACTTTTCAAACACATGATAACTGCCATTATCTTGATTGCTGGACCTAATTTTATGTTCAATAAACTCACTAGGTCATTTTGGGTCATCATTAAGAGAGCCTCACCATCGATCTGTTGCTCAATAAACACAGTTGCTACTTGTTCACACCCTGGTACACGTGCTACCAGCTGATGTACTTGCTCTGTATTCCACGATTCCACATCAGACTTCTTGGCATCCCCAAGGGAAGCTGTGAGGTGGCGATGGCGCTCCCATGAGTGCGGCAAAGGTGCAGATGGATGTGGATTGTAACCTGGATTAAAGACTGACTGGTGTACCATCATGTCCATGCCATGATCAGAAGGCTGGGAAGTAGTAGGATGAGGTGGCTGCTGTGGGATAATTTGACTCAGAGATGTCGACTGTGTGGAGGTGGAGGGGACAAGGCTTGTAGAGGATATAACCGTAGATGTTGTGATTGTATTTGGTGCCATTGTGGTTGAAAGTGATACTGACTTAATTTCATCATTACAGAGTTTTGGTACTTTTTGTGGTCTATTTGGTTCAGGTGGACTAAGTTCATCAAAAAACTTTCTTCTCTTTCTAACTCGCTTCTTCTGACAATCTGCTTCCTCCACTTCACCATTACCTTCTTTTACGCTGTAAGAGCGGAGATCTAATTTGACTTTAGGAACAACTTTGTTTTTCTTTCTCTCTGGTGGGAATTGCAATCTGTCAGGAATTATGCTATCAAGGTCCTTGTTGATGTTCTGCAAGGAATATGGGCAACCATATGCTGTATGGTGAGTAGTATATACTGGACCCTTGATATGGCCAATTCCTTTACACCCTGGGGTTCCACACCCCATTCCGGAGTCGACGTCCTCTGCTTGTTGCTCAGGAGTAAGAGGCGGCTGGAGCGGATGAGCGGTTTTATTACACCACGATGGCGGATGAATGTCCAGAGAGTCATCATCCACCCAGTAGTCATATTCATCCCCCCATCCATCAAAGTGGATCTTCAACTGGTACTCTTGAATGTCGACGATGGTAGCAACACGTATGAGGGCTGGGTTCCTCTTGTCAACAACTTCTAGCTTCATGTTCTTCTTGAAATCTCTTGGAGGTCTAGTCTTGAAGGCTCTAGCTGGAACAGCCATTGAATTTGTTTCTTGAAGATACTCATGCCAATTAAAGCTTTCTGGATTTGGATAATCATTTGGAGGATGCAGAACAATATTATTTTCAGCACACCATCCAACAGGATGGATATATGGTGAGGAAACTTCATTCCAAACATCAAAAGCTTTATCCCATCCATCAAAATGAATGAGGACACGGTTGTCCAACACATCAGCCACGGTTGCTACACATACCCACATGTTCTTTCGATCCTCTGCCTCCAGCTTCATGCCCACTCGAAAATTGTTAGGAGGAATTATTGTAGAACTGCCTTTATTAATGAAAGCTTGTCTAGGTGCTGTTTGAGCCTTACAATGTTCTAAATATGCTTTCCAAGAAAATCCTAAAACCCCAAGGGGGGGTTCCAACTGACGGCCATTCTTTTCACACCAACCGGCCGGAAAGATATTTATTGAATCTGCATTAAGCCAGTAGTCATACTGGTCAGAGTAACCATCAAAGTGAACTCTCAGTCTATAACCAATAGTTTCTGCTACTGTCATTACACAAAACAAAGACTGGTGATTGGGATCAATAGCTTCCAATTTCATTCCAGGTTTAAATAAGTTTCTACTAAATGGAAAGGGCTCTGGCCATATTTTCAGAGGGGCAGCTTTTGCTAGTCCCTTGGCACGACCGCAATGTTCCAAGTACTTGACCCATGAGAAATTATTTTTTCCATCATGCCATGGGTGCTGGTACTTGCTCACAAGAGATTCAGGAACCACACCAGAATTTTTTGAGTTTCTCGCCTCATTGTCACTTCCTCCATGGGCACCATCCTCATCACTGTGATTCCCTTCTTTATCACCTTGGTCTTCATCTGCTTTCTCACTCTGTTTAAGACGTCTTCTTCGCTGCCGCTCCTTTTCCTGTTTCAGGCGCTCTTTACCCCATTCTATTTCTCGAGCATCGTGTTCCTGTAACATAAATATGATAAATAGCTATTACTCAAATTAAATATTATTGTACTGTATTTATATTGTCTTTTAATTTCTTACCTTTGAAATAAGCTATTTTGATAAGAGCAAACATATTTCGCATATACTGTACAATATAAATATTTTTACTATGTAATGTAGTTAAACTTACACACAAAACATTCCTTCCAGAATAGCAGATGTCCTGCAGTAAAGTGGCTAGTGCAGTTGGTTCATAACCAAAAGTTATCGCAATAGTAAGTAATTATCAAAAGAAGGCACCAAGGCTATGGAGCACCAAGGAGGCTATGGAGCACCAAGGAGGCTATGTAACACCGTCAAAAGAGCGGGATGTTCAAAAGGTACTATATATCACTAAGGATGCCAATACGAGAACAAAAGCGCATACGGCAAACATCATCAAAGGTATCTGATTCACCAAGGATACTATCGAGGGACAGGTGACTGCGAGGGACAGTTGAGAGGCAAGATGCACGCACATCTTGGAAGTTAGGACACTCAACAAGGATATGCACGACCGTAAGAGGGACAATGCAATTTGAACAGTAAGGAGCAGGGCGGCGCTCCATTAAGTGCCCGTGAGTTAAGCGGGTAAAGTTATCGCAATAGTCCCATGCAAGATGAGACATTTAGGAAAGTTTCCTTACACCTGATACCTCTGTTCACCTAGCAATAAGTAGGTTCCCAAGAGTTAGACATCTATTGTCAGCTGCTTCTGGAGAAAGGTCAGCCATTGGCCTAGGGGGCCCCCTCAATAAGCCTAACTGATTTCCTGCCCCTGACAACAAGAAACCAAGTGGAAAACCAAACTTTCCAAATGTATGGAATTCTCCACCAAATTTTGCGTGTCAATTTACACCCATATTTAAATATTAATATCATTCAGGTTTACTAATGTAGAGAGTTTCAAGGATCACATCAACACTAGTCAAGGCACAATTAAAACCAATCTGCTTGCAACAAAAGATTTTACACACACATTTTAATGAAAAGTGTCCAAAAGACACTGGCTCATTCTTATACAACTGGTTACCTGACAAAGTACTTCACTACATACTGTCAGTTCAGTGTTCCCTTTACACAGATAGTTGATTGACAAACACTTCACTACATTCAACTCATTACTCAATTTCTATAATAAACTTACCTCATCCAAACAGCCATTCAGTTTGTGCTTTAAAAACATTGTCCTCCTCATTATCCATGTTCACAATCCATTTGCTCTCCCTCTATGACTTCTATTTCAGACACAAACAGCACTCTGGTTCTACAATGAAAGTTGAGCAACAAATACTTACATCTCCACAAGCAACAGAGCAGAAGCTGCTTTCACGGAAGAACTCGGAGCTGAGGCCATAGCAACCACAATTTTTGCAGCAGCATATGTCATCCGATTCCCGAGTGGACTTGTTACCTTGAGATTCAGAGTCTTGAGAATTGTCAGAAAATATTTCCTCATCCTTCACTATCTCACGGTAGTTGGGTTTGCGAGCGTGATGCCGTGGGGTCAAGTGCTCTACCCTTCTGATTTGATGGTTCTTAATCTCCTCTAAATCTCTGTCTTCTACTATCTCTACAGCATTAAATTCATTCATCTTGAACTTTAGATCACTTCCATGAAGTTTTCCAACCCCATCCTCCCACTTTAACAGATCAGAGAACTTTATGTGCTCGGGTGTAAGTTCATCACAGAATGAAGGAACCTTGGACTTAATGATTAATTTTGAATCTTTAGAGTCACTATCTATAATAAAAGGCTTTTCTTCTGAGGCATTTTCAACTTTCTCTTGTTTGATTAAATCCTTTTCCTCAGGTTGTCCTTCTCTTACTGGACTTGTGTTTCTGGTCAGCTCCTGTGTCTTACAAAATATTGTTTTCACTACATCCTTCTTCATCTCTATTATCTCTGGCTCCTCCTCATAAATTCCCTTCCCTGCTCTTAAATCGTCGTCTTCGTCCACATTCACACATTCCGGTATCCTCTTTGGTTTGAGTTGGCTGTCAGGAATGTTGTCAAGTATTACTGGATAAGCTTCACTGCCATTTTGTTTCTCCTCCTCTAGTACCCCTGCAAGAGTATTAACAGCACGCTGCAGAATGTCACCCCTGCTCCTGAAAATTTGACAAGTATTTATTAAATGTGCAAAACATATTTTGAGTCATATTATGAAACTTTTTATTTAATATTCCTCATGCCAAGATGACAAAGAATCAAATTAACAAATCACCTCTTTGTTGCAACCACAGTTACATCTTTTAGGTTTGAAAGCGCTTCCTCATCTGAGATTTGAACTGGGACGGGAACCGGAACAATCACAGGTTCGGGTATTTTGAGTGTTGCCGGCACTGTGCCAGTAACCGACACAGTCACCGAGCCTGTTCCAACTGCATGGGCTAAAGCAGTGCCAGCAACAACCATGGGAGTATCTTTTCGCTCTTCTGTCTGCTTTCCGGCATGAACCAGAGGTCGGGCTTCCTGCAACACTGCAAAGGAAAGATCCCTTTGTAACACTGCAAAGGAAAGGAATAAATATGTAACATTTCCAAAGATAGATTTCTATGTAATACTACCATAGACTGGAGATCTCTTTGCACCACAATGAATTAAAAATTAAAAAAAAAATATATATATATATATACACACACACACCTAGATGTGCTTGCAGGGGTTGAGCTCTGGCTCTCAACTATCAATCAAATGGTGTACAGATTCTTGAGCCTACTGGGTTCTATCATATCTACATTTGAAATGGTGTGTGGAGTCAGCCTTCTCCACATCGCTTCCTAGTGTATTCCATTTACTAACTACTCTGACACTGAAAAAGTTCTTTCTAATGTCTCTGTGGCTCATTTGGGTACTCAGCTTCCACCTGTGTTCTGGTTGATACCTGGTTGATGGGGTTCTGGGAGTTCTTCTACTCCCCAAGCCCGGCCTGAGGCCAGGCTTGACTTGTGAGAGTTTGGTCCACCAGGCTGTTGCTTGGAGTGGCCCGCAGCTCCACATACCCACCACAGCCCGGTTGGTCCGGCACTCCTTGGAGGAATAAGTCTAGTTTCCTCTTGAAGATGTCCACGGTTGTTCCGGCAATATTTCTTATGCTTGCTGGGAGGACATTGAACAACCGCGGACCTCTGATGTTTATACAGTGTTCTCTGATTGTGCCTATGGCACCTCTGCTCTTCACTGGTTCTATTCTGCATTTTCTTCCATATCGTTCACTCCAGTACGTTGTTATTTTACTGTGTAGATTTGGTACTTGGCCCTCCAGTATCTTCCAGGTGTATATTATTTGATATCTCTCTCGTCTTCTTTCTAGTGAGTACATTTGGAGGGCTTTGAGACGATCCCAATAATTTAGGTGCTTTATTGCGTCTATGCGTGCCGTATATGTTCTCTGTATTCCCTCTATTTCAGCAATCTCTCCTGCTCTGAAGGGGGAAGTGAGTACTGAGCAGTACTCAAGACGGGACAACACAAGTGACTTGAAGAGTACAACCATTGTGATGGGATCCCTGGATCTGAAAGTTCTCGTAATCCATCCTATCATTTCCCTTGCGTGTGTACCATCCGTCTTAAATAATCCATTCCTGCCTACCCTGTCAATTCTCCTGAGAATTTTATATGTGGTGATCATGTCTCCCTGTGTCTTCCAGCGATGTGAGGTGCAGTTCACTCAGCCTTTCTTTGTAACTCATGCCTCTTAGTTATGTGATAACTATGTGGTGGCATACCTCTGAACTTTTTCCAGCTTCATCATGTGCTCGACAAGGTATGGGCTCCATGCTGGGGCCGCATACTCCAGGATTGGTGTTACACATGTGGTATACAAGGTTCTGAAAGATTCCTTACACAGGTTTCTGAAGGCAGTTCTAATGTTAGCCCGCGTCGTATATGCCACTAATGTTATTCTTTTGATGTGGGCTTCAGGAGACAGGTTTGGTTTGATACCAACTCCTGGATCTTTCTCTCTGTTTCACAAAGGACTTCATCTCCCATTCGATATCCAGTGTCTGGCTTCCTTTTTCCTCTGCCTAGTTTCATTACCTCACATTTACTAGGGTTGAACTTTAATAGCCATTTGTTGCACCATTCCTTCAGTTTGTCTTGGTCATCTTATAGCCACATACTATCATCCTCTGTCTTAATCCTCCTCATAATTTTTACATCATCAGCAAACATGGAGTAGAACGAGTCTATTCCCTCTGGGAGATCATTTACATATATCAGAAACAGTACAGGTCCAAGGACTTATCCCTGTGAAACTCTACTGGTGATGCCTTGCCACTCCAAGACCTCACCCCGCACAGTAACTCGCTGCCTTTTGTTGCTTAGGTACTCCCTTATCCAATGGAGTACCCTCCCTTTCACTCCTGCCTGCATCTCCAACTTATACACTATTCTTTTATGAGATACTGTACTGTGTCAAAGGCTTTTTGGCAATCCAAAAATATGCAGTCTGCCTACCCTTCTCTTTCTTGCCTGATTTTTGTTGCCATAGAATTCAATTAATCCTGTGAGAAATGATTTGCCATACATAAATGCATGCATCTAATTTGTATGTATGTATGACAAATTATGACAGTGCAACAGTTACAAACTTACAACACCTACCATCAACTTGCTGTATGTTGTCTGTCTGAATCTGGCCATTAGATATCTTGAAATTTATCATGTTAGACTTGTTCTGGCCAAGATTGACGGAGAGCATGTTAAGAGGATTGGTGCTGGACACAGGAATGCTGCTACTCCCGCCAAGCTTGGATCCCTGTCCAGATAAATCACATTACACTGTAAAGCTACTCTTAATGAAAAATTCTTTACTAACACCATTACTAGACAATGAACAAAAATTCCTTAAATTTATTGCCATCTGCAAACAGTATTTACTTATTGACTGCTATAAGGCTAAGCAAATATTTTGATATTACCTCTACAAGACTTTTAGTGTGAAGTATCAATGATCATGGATGTGTCAAGCACTTCTACAACACAGTAATTAAGATTATAAAAGGCTCTTCTAAAGTGATTAAAATTGTGTAAGGTCATTCTAGAGGCATATGATTATGCCAAACAATTCTACAAAAATGATGAAAATCAATTCAATAGATATGATATAAATCCATTCTATAGAAATGGTATTAAAAATTCTATCACGATTATGTCAAACTATTCTGCAGAGACTGTCAAGTTATTTGACAGTATATGAATGTGTTAAACATTATTACCTTGCCAGTAATAATACTAATAGTGGCCCCTCCAGTTTTGGCCAAGGCAGCAGCACCCTTAACAGCTGAGGATGAAGCAGCCTGTAGGAGGAGAGGCGTGGGCGAGGCGTGTCCGTCCTTCTTCCCAGCAACACTCCCTCCTCCCCCTCCACCTCCAGCCTGAAGGAGGGTACTGTAGGAGAGGACCGCTTTGTTGGCAACTCCTGTACGCACCTGAGATAAAGACAATAAATTGATCGATAAATATTTAATGCCTGATTCTGTGAGCATAGGGTAAGAGGTGCCAATAAAGATTTGGAATTAAACAAAAGAGGTTTAACATTGTTGACAGAAGAGGCTTGTTTTTGTATGGTAGGTGAATTAGTGATTGGCAAATTCAGATGCTATGCCATGCCACCTCCATCCCCAAAATCTCCATGCCAGCAATAGCCTGCATGACCAATCAGAAGCAAGCAATCACTGATCGTGTGTGTCTGCTGCTTCATTGTTACATATACAGTACTGTACAGTACATATAGTGTAGCAGAATAAGAGAGTAGTACAATGATGCTATTCTCAGCTCAGTAGGAATTACCCTTGTCAAGTAAATCATTATAGAAGGAGGGAAGCAGATTTAATTACCAAGAAGATACATAGCATTTTGCAAGACTTTTGACGAGTACATGAATACATTCAACTTATTGCAGTATAGTGAACAGTTATTAATTTGAATAAAGAAAATTACATACAATTTTGATGACTAAATTTGATGAAAAATAAATCAAACAAAACATAAATAGAAATTTACATATTCAGTTTTAAAAGGACATGATAAAGTGGTGATTTAATACAAGATTTTAAAATTAACAAAGGCCATTGCAATCTTAACACAGAAAACACTGGCTTTAAAATTATAGGCATATGATTTCACTATAAATACATTTAAAAATAGTTTAGACAAGTACTGCTCTTTATATCTGTGCCTAACAGTATCACTAATGCAATGGCTTCCTGTGGACAAACAGATTAGTTTGGATAAAAAGTCTGTAATCCTTTGTAATGAGCTTACTAATACAACTATTTAATTCTTACAATGATAAACGACAAAAACGTTACCTGCGTGATTGGTATTGGCACAAGTCGTGGAGTCACCCCCTTATTGGTGGCCGCTGAAGATGTAACTGTAGATGGAACTTTGGAAGAGTGGAGTATGACCGGACCATGAGACTGTGGAGTCAGTGAGGGACGCATAACTGGAGCTGCTGTGCCGGGTAGACCTCCACTTGATCCTAGTACGGTAATGGTTGTGGCATTTGGGGTCATCACTGGTCGAGGAACTCCTGAAGATAATAACAAATATAAACTGCATAAAATCTCCATAATAATGTATTAAATTAAATCGATCTCATTAATGTGACTTTAATGTTCACACTGTACAGTATATCTTATATTGCCTTAAAACTCATCTTTTATGCCTACTATATGTTTTCTAGCTACAGTACTATTTTTGCTCAGACAACCCTGTTGTGAATATAGATTAATTTGCACATAAATTTACTCTTATAAATTTTATGGTTTTGCCATAGTTTTAAGGTGTGAGAATGGGCTCTCAGTTTAGGGGACAGAATCATGGGTAGAAGCTAAATAGTCAAACTTCTTTACACAAGTGTCCAATATAAGACTCACAAAATGCTCCTAACAGAACGGCTGGGAATCAACAGTAGTGTCACCTGATGTAGATGTTTAGTTTTTTATAACCGATGATTATAAACCAAATGGTCTTTTGATATTTGTATTTCTCATTTATATTTGATACATATTACTGTACAAAGATGAAATACATTACTACATACAAGTGATGTGTATTACTGTGTATGCCTGATATTATTGTGTATGCCTAATATTATTGCGCATGTCTATATACATCTGAAATATCATTACAAACATTTGATATATACAGTATTACAGTTATAAGCTTTAGTTTTACCTGAAATACTCGGCAGGCTCCAGATCGGTAATATATCTGCACGATACAATACAATCCAATGAAACCCCACTTCAGGAAATTATCTTTTATCTTGTTATCTTTTATCTAACATTCAACTAGCACAAAACAACATAACTCACTCATATGCATGTCAAACCTTCGCTTGAAATGTTTCGTTACACTGATAAACTTGGTTCAAGTAGTAATAAATAGGCAACCCATCCTCCTAAAATATAAGTACTTATAGTAAACATGTGGTGGAAAGTACAAATATGTTGTGACGGACCATCAGAAAGTAGACTTTTAATGAATGAATTTGGACAAACTGGAAACGTTATTAATTTTATGTTGCTAAAAAACCTAACCTAATCATCCTAGGCATAGTACATGCTATCTGAGGCCTAATATAGAACATATATGTGCTATCTTGAGGTTATCTTGAGATGATTTCGGGGCTTTAGTGTCCCCGCGGCCCGGTCCTCGACCAGGCCTCCACCCCCAGGAAGCAGCCCATGACAGCTGACTAACACCCAGGTACCTATTTTACTGCTAGGTAACAGGGGCATAGGGTGAAAAACTCTGCCCATTGTTTCTCGCCGGTGCCCGGGATCGAACCCGGGACAACAGGAACACAAGTCCAGTGTGCTGTCCGCTCGGCCAACCGGCTCCCTCGGTGCTATACTAGGCCTAGGAATATTAAGTTTGGTTTTTAGCTTCATTTTTCCTGGAGTCTACAAAACTATATTTCCTGTCCCTGACAATGGAAACCCAAGTTGCTAGTGTAGTAGCCCTCATCATGCAAGGTGTCACACAACACAAAAATGGCTGAACTCTCCTACCAACTAAGCATCATTGGAATAGGATGATGTGATACACTCTGGAGCTAATTGATAACTAATTAATCTTGAGCTCAAACAATCAGGATGCAAACTGTAATGGATAGGGCATTAAGGCCCAACAGGCAAACAGGGATTGTTCCTAGAAGATGAAGCACTCATAGTTTGGCACCAACACTATGGGGAGAAAGGGGACATCACAAGCCATACTCAGCTGCCCATCGGGGCATCAAAAGAATAATAATTTCCACCACCACTGAAAGATGGTATTTCAAGGGAAATCTAAATGAGTGGTCAGGTCTGAAGCTCTAGATATGTACAGTATTATGATGGCCTTTACATTTGTAACCCTTAATGTGCATGCAATAGTTGTATATTTAGTCTCGGAATTTTTCTACCACACTTTGTAGATATTGTAGATTAAATATATAGATAACCTCACAGATAGATCCAGAATAATACAGGCAGAAAATAATACAAATTGAAAAGCTAGACAGCATGATAACAAATAAAGAGTAGAGACAACAAGATGACATACATATGCAAAATACATTATTTAGGCAAAATAAGAAAAATGTATTTACCTGAAGACACCACAACATTGGCATGGGTCTTGCGTACGATGGAGGTTGCACATCCAGGCTTGGAGGTGACTGTTGTGGATGGAGATGCAATCACCGGCCTGGGGTTAGTCACAGTCACGGCTGTCATTCCTGCAGTCCGAGATGACGGCACCGTTACCGCTGTGGCTACAACTGGACGGGTTGTTGCCATGGTAACAACAGCAGTTCCCTGTTAAAATAATTTGGAAGTTAGTGACCAAATCAATTACCATGAGTTCTCACTCTTGCTCAATGACTACCATTCTTCAGACAATACATATAAAATAAAATTCACTGTGTCTCTGATCCTTACTTAATACCTATTCATATTTAGCCCATCTGTTTGTTCAAGCTTTGTGAAAACAGCCAAAACACACACACTTAGACAATTTATGTTTTGCATGAGAAGCACTTTTTTGTACACCTTGCATTTACCAGGAACATGCACAAAGAGTACATGTAAATATATATTTCAAAATTTAAATACTTAATTTTTTAAGGTCACCTTAAATCTACTGACTTTCCAGGATGCTGCTGAGTATGGAGTGCAGTGCAAATGGTTGGGCTTCTGTCAAGATCTCCAGCCCTTTCATGTTTTGTTCTTCAAACGTTTTCCTGTCAGGTGTGTGTCTAACATTAGAGAGGTCATGTGGAAGGTGGCCCTCTGTATATAGTTTTACTTGCTCTTCTATGAGAGGAGGTCATATGGAAGGTGGCCCTCAGTATATAGCTTCACTTGTTCTTCTGTGACAGGTCATATGGAAGGTGGCCCTCAGTATATAGCTTCACTTGTTCTTCTGTGAGAGGTCATATGGAAGGTGGCCCTCAGTATATAGCTTCACTTGTTCTTCTGTGACAGGTCATATGGAAGGTGGCCCTCAGTATATAGCTTCACTTGTTCTTCTGTGAGAGGTCATATGGAAGGTGGCCCTCAGTATATAGCTTCACTTGTTCTTCTGTGAGAGGTCATATGGAAGGTGGCCCTCAGTATATAGCTTCACTTGTTCTTCTGTGAGAGGTCATATGGAAGGTGGCCCTCAGTATATAGCTTCACTTGTTCTTCTGTGAGAGGTCATATGGAAGGTGGCCCTCAGTATATAACTTCACTTGTTCTTCTGTGAGAGGTCATATGGAAGGTGGCCCTCAGTATATAACTTCACTTGTTCTTCTGTGAGAGGTCATATGGAAGGTGGCCCTCAGTATATAGCTTTACTTGCTCTTCTGTGAGAGGTCATATGGAAGGTGGCCCTCAGTATATAGCTTTACTTGCTCTTCTGTGAGAGGTCATATGGAAGGTGGCCCTCAGTATATAGCTTTACTTGCTCTTCTGGGAGAGGTCATATGGAAGGTGGCCCTCAGTATATAGCTTTACTTGCTCTTCTGTGAGAGGTCATTTGAAAAGCTTCACAAAGCACACAGAAATACTTATTTGCATGCTATGAGTGGCCATGGGGCAGCTGACACCGAGTGCTGTGTGACATTTGCCTAGCCGAGAGGTCATTTACAAGGTGGTACTAAATGCTAAATGATATCTGCCTGGCAGTGAGTGTAAACCAATACTTGCCTGGCTGCGGGAAGTTGGCACCGAGACCGTGGTGCGGGAGGATCTAGCCCCTGGTCCCAGAACAGAGATAGAGTTGAGTTTGGTATGTAGGGGAATGAAGTGGGCTGGCCCACCTGCCCCTCGGCCACCCACCAGGGTTGCCACACGGCCACTTCCATTCCCAGTCTGAAATTATATTAAAATACTTTATGTATTGCTAATTTTTTACAGTGCCTCATAAAATAAATTTTGAGGATCATTCTAAAAAAATACACATTTACCAAACATATACAGTAATAATTTTAGCATTCTTCACCAGATCTAAGAATAGTTGAGGTACTACTGTAGAAGATTTATAGTAGTTGTGCTGGTGGTGCTTAATGTATCAAATGTACTCAAGACCTGATCCAAGATGATATGTGTATAACATGAAAAATCAAGAATTAGGGTAATAGAAAATTACAAACTGAGAAGCATATATGGCATTAAAAGAATAGAAAGAATAAGGAATGAAAGTATCATGGATAGATGTGGATTACAAAAGTTTATAAATTGTACAATTAAGGAAACTAACCAAAATGGTTTGTGCAATGTTGAATGCAGGCATGATGGTTGACTAGTGAAGAGAGTGCATTCCAGTGAATCGGAGGGTAGGAGGAGAGGAAAGCCACAAAGATGATGGGCAGACATGGGAAGTGAGGAAGTAGGTACTTAGTGTGAATAACACATGAAATACTAGGGGGAGGGTGGGGGGGTACCCAGCTGTGCTTGGGAATGTCTCCCCTTCCTTCCCCTCTTTAACATTGAGAACCCCACGATCTAATGTTAAAATCATAAATTATCATTTCCTGATAATTTAGATAAAATTTACAAGCTCTTCATACTCCAATTTTCTAGACAGCAATTCCAAGCATCTCATATTTCAATAATCCAGAAAAAGCCTAAACCTCAAATAATTTTTAACAGCAGATAATGCACATTATTTGCTTGTAATTAATGCACAGTATTACAGTATAGAATTGTGAACATTACACGCTTGTTTCCTGCGGCCAGTTCTCCAGTCACCCAACCTAAGAACTAGGCTTCCTTGGTGACTTCTTAATCAGCTCAATGCTCACGTAGTTGTGCTTGCAGGGGTTGAGCTTTGGTTCTTCTTTTGCCTCTTGACTGTCAATCAACTGGTAGATGCTTGTGCCCTGCAGGCCCCCACAACTATCATGACCTAGCTCATCTGCCCCAGCCTACATGGTCATTTGTTTATGAAAAAAGGACTTTTATAAATTTGCTGGTAGGAGGTTGAAGAGACATTGATCTCTCTGGTTATGCTATTAGTAATAATAATTTTCATTGGTTTTATCGTATGCTTTCTACCATACCACAGCTACATTGTATCCAAACACCTTGCTTGAAGCAATATATGTTGTTGTTGTTAAAGATTCGCTACCTGGAACAAAAAGTTCCAAGTAACATGGGTTATGGTGAGCTTTGAAGCAGTAGCTAAAATTCAACATGGGTGACTATAACAAATATTCATACTTATAGATGAATCATGTACACGAAAAAAATGGTTCACAAAAAAATGTTTGTGAAATAAAGCTGCATTATTTCAGCGTGGAAAAAGCCTCATGTTTTCTAGGTTGGCTGTTGGAATGCGTACATGTGGTATGCAGCGAGTGTGCGGTAGTTGGCGTAACCACTGTGATAATCTAACGCTCTGCTTGCTTCACCAAAGACAGATTCTGTATATCTGAACTCCATCAACCTAACCAAGATATTTAATTAGAAAGATACAAATAAAAGAAACTGTTTATTAATGTGAAAACAAATAATATTGTAGAGTACTTTACAGTACTTTAGGATGACCTCAATGAGCCATACGCTACCTCTCCCTAATAAGTTAGACACAGACCCATACTCAAATCATGCAACTTAATTAGAAATCCTGATGCAATTTACAAATACTGCACTAACAATACAGTACTAATTTTGTTGCTAAATTTGAAATACAAAACTGGAAGGTCAATCACTTTTTTTTTTTTTTTTTTAACAAGTGGGAATAGGAGCAGATTACGGACTTCTGTACGTAGAGATTTATCTTCCCAATAGCACATGGTAAGCCTTACCCTACAAGTTTTTCCCTGGAACACAACCCACCAATCAGTTTATAACCAGGTCCCCAAATGCTGTTTGGTGAACAGGGGCAAAGAGTTAAGAATTTGTTTCCAGTCAATCCTCCCAATTATTCCACTTTCTTTAAATGGCCTGTAAGCTTAGCACCAAATGTTTTATTACACAGTAAAAATTTTACCAAATATTAGGAGTAAACATTTGTTTCATTAATAAACAAAATGTAATACTGTACCTTGAATTTATCAAGGAGAAAATGCATGCTAGTTATACTTGCACAATGCACTCACTCTGTCCTGTTGTAGTTGTAAATAAAGGAACTTCTGCGGCTCCTTAGTTTTACTGTCACCTTTACTTGAGGCTTTCTCAGACACTGATTGGTCAGCCATCTCAGCTGAGGTGTTCTCCTCGAAATGAGAGGAGTGCTGTCAGGTTCTTGTACAATGATGAGGATCTACTTCAGCATCCCCACTGATAAGAAGTATTTCTTGTCAAATTCTTTTATGCTGCTAAGGATTTGCTGCACCATCCCTTTCTGTAACAGAGTAACCGCATCAAAATTACATTGTCATAACACTGATAAAGTATACAGGTCTGCGCCATCAGTCTGGTTAGTAACTAAGTTATTAGACCCCATTCATACATAGTCCAATATTTGCTGCAACCTCAAAATTCCTCTCATGAGGGCATAGTTAAAATAGACAGGCCTCTGAGCCATCCCATCCAACCACATCTCCCTAGTTTGATCCTTTCCAATTGTGTCCTCTGTGTCCTCATTGCATTCTGCTTTTCCCCTCTCTGGATACTGGTTTCCTTTCCATTACTCTAGCCCCGTACACCTCAGTTATGGAAATACAGTACAGAAGTATAGTACAGTTCACAAATATTTAAATTTTGACAAAGTGAATCTCAAGCACTAAACCTGCAATTCAAGATAAAATGCAACAGAATGTTAATTTACCTGATGGACCCTATCTCTTAGTGGATATGCATGAAACAGCGGCAGGGGGGGGGGGTTAAGAGGATTCTCCCCTGCACCCCCTTTCCCAATTTTGACCTGTCCTGGCCTTTACTGTATTGATGGGTAGATACTTCCATGGGTTTATTACCTATACATAAAAAGCATCTGGTTTTTACCTATTATTATTCTTATTTCAGTATTTTCCCAAGGCACAATATGATTTAATTCTGTGAGAGGATACCACAAGCCTTAGGGTAAGATTGTTGGTCATCAGATACTTAAACTGTATTTTTTGTTAAGTGAAATTTCAAAACACTTTACATTTAAAAAAAAAAATTAAAAACCTATATACTCTACCTGTTGTTTACCTATTGATGATTTTGAGTTCTACTCTCACAGCATGGCCTGTAGCCAGCATTCCAGCATGGCCTGGTTTGCAAGGTTATCTGTTTACATAGCCCACAGGCTATGCACCATCACAACAAGACTGATCTGGTAACTTCAACAGAAACTTATAAAATTCCCCTTTGAAATCATTCAATGTTGTTTTTTATACCTTGACAAGATTTTTTATAACTTGGTTGGTCTCATTTTTCTAAGATCATACTGAGACCTATACAATAATTTAAATAAAAATATATGTACTGTACTATATAAGAAAAAAACTGTATTTGTCTTAATATAGTATATTGTGTCCAATTTCTTTAAAATCTGTTTTGGCTCTACCATATTTAATTTCCTGTGTGGCTGCATTCAATGCCTATTTATATTTTAGAGTCTGTGCGGCTCTTTCCAGTCCAATACTTCATCCAAATACAGTATTAAATTTAGATGTACAACTCTTTTTATTGAATTCATGTCAACATTGACATTTTCTGCCTCATTTCTCCTTGTAATACATTTTTGGCAGGTTCAGAAATGACTTATGTGAAGTTTTCATCAAATTACCTCAATGTCATCTTCTCTGAGTGATATTTTGTAATTCTTCTCATTCTTATACAAGTAAATAATTATCAAAGGGAGGCATCAAGCCAGGAAGACTATGTATCTCATACTTACATAGTCTCTTCAAAGGTACAGTACTTACATTAGTGTCATCACAAACACATCAAAATAAAGGAATTTGCATGAATTTGTTTTAAAAATTCTAACTTGTGTATGCAGTGTAGTATCCCAACAGTATGCAGTATCCCAACAGCATGCAGTATCCCAACAGTATGCAGTATCCCAACAGGGTACAGTATCCCAAGAGCATGCAGTATCCCAACAGCAGCACTGCTGTAAGTCCATCATTACTAAGTACTGTAATTGGTACTGTGATGAATTAATATATATATATGAAGAAATGGGAGAGTCCAAGTGATAAAGTGGTTAACATACTGTGCCATGGTCACAGTGAAGCTGCCTGGACTGTGGTGCATGTAAGGACATGGCTGTTAATGGAAGTGATGAAGACTGTATGTTTCAACAGGCAGGCCTTGTGGAGAGGCATTTCAGGGGCTAATAGAGTATGTTTGTGCCACATGTCTGGTTAATGATTGCAGTTAGCTAAGTGAAGCTTTGTCATGACTTTCAAATATATTTAATAGTGGAATATTTTACTGCTTTAGTCATTATTTGTGCTGTACTGTTTACTATGCCAGTATGTCCATGTTTGGAGAACCAGCTCCTATGTTGTAATTATTCACACACAAAGTCCACAGGTGGTGAGGGATGAGTCCGTGTGTGTGTGTGTGTGTAAACGTTCATTCAGCCTTGGGACTCCTTTGTTCATTCTCAGTTCTATATATAAATATACATTCAAAATAAATACCAATATACAGTGCAAAATATATAAAAAGTAAACAGTAACAAATACTACTATTAATTCCTGCAAATGGTAACTACAACTCTTAACCTAAATCTACAATATAGTACTTTGATCAGCTTTTAATTAAACATTATTAAATTGGAAATTCACATAACTTGTAATAATTACAATTTGATTAAGTAGTACATTCTTGCAAAGTCATTAACATGCAAAGCATTTTGGGCAGGTCCTAAATCGAACACAGAATTTGCAATGAACTTAAAATCAGGTGAAAGTCATTCTTGAAAACAAAAATAAAAGTAGTGACAGGTATACAATATAGTTATATTTCTGATGTTATATTTCTAGAGAGTAAAATACTAGGTGAGTTAGTGGCACAAGGTGGAATACTATGGTAATGAAATTAGGTATTTTATTGTTCTACTGTTGAATAAAGTATGAATTAATTTGTTTTTTCATAAGGAAAGGAGTTCCATGCATTGGGTCTTTAATTTGCATGGCATGTTTGTATAAATTTAGTCTGACTTTGATTATATCAAAATTATATTTATATCTGGTTTGATGATCAGGGGTTCTATTACTTCCATATAGAAAAAAGTTTTAAAACAGGACTAGAATTTATGAATAAGGTTTTGTAAGTGTAAATAACTTAAGAGAATGTATGTTGTTTGAAGACAGAATCTGTATAGCTCTGATTGCTGATTTTTGCTGGATGATGATGATGATGATGATGGGCTTTAGGTAGCTTGTGGTGGTTGAGCCCCATGCACAGATACCGTAACTTAGCTAAGGGAGAGATCAGCGAGTAGTATAGTGTGGAAAAAGAGGAGAATGGAGGAAACAGCATCTGATTCTGTTAAAGCATACCAACATTATTGTACACAGCTCTCTATAAACATTTGTACCAGCATCTGATTCTGTTAAAGCATACCAACATTATTTTACGCAGCTCTCTATAAACATTTGTACATCTTAAAAAGAACACCATAACACATGACAATATTAAGCTTTGTAGACACTAAAAAATGCAAAAAAATAATGCAATTATAAACATTATATTTAGTTTCACTGTAATAAACAAAAATCAACTTCACTAATTTACCAATTGGACAGTCTTTTTTTTATTACAAATTTGGTGGTAAAAATTGACCTTTTTCAGATGTATATACTTTACAAAGTTAATTACCAAAAACAAATAAATACTGTCCTGTACTTATATTACTGCTAAAAACATTCTGAGATGAAATATTGTAACTAAAACATGTTAAAAGACAATTAAAATAAAATTATATATATTATATATATATATATATTATATATATATATATATATATATATATATATATATATATATATATATATATATATATATATATATATATATATATATACAATATATATACAATATATATAATATATACACAATGTGTATGTCTACAATGCATATATACTGTATATATTTCTTTCATTTGCTGAGATTTAACTAAACAACTTGTTATATTACCCAACTTATATATTAGAAATAAGCATGATTGTTCTTAAATCTAAATTAATACATTAGAAATGTCTTAACACAAACAATATAGTACATGAAGCCCAAAATATGAACCAAGATAGACATAACACAGTAATTTATCTTTAACACCAAAGGATACAATTAAAACTATACCAAAGGAAAGATAACGACGTCCTTTACATACATTAATATTAATGAAACCAGCTTAAAACTTACCCAAAACTTGAAAATAAACCAGAAAAAATAATCTTGAAAATTAGGCAGGAGGTTAGAGGTGACCTGGACCAGCTGGCCCGCCCACACTTATGTGGGCGTGGCTAGGGGCGGCAGCGTCCATAACACCTACAGAACAACCCAGTTGAGGCCTTATTTAATTAATGCCGAGACAGTGGACGGCCATTAGCGGTAATTCAGTGGAGTGGAGCTCGTCTCCGCTCACCTCTACTACCACGCCCACCATCTTTCTCTTATTTTAAACAGCTTTGACAGAGTTCGGCCAAATTACTCATATCATTGAGTGGGCGTATGGCCGACAGTACTAACAGGCGTGATGAGGCAGGCGTGGGAAGGCGTGGGCGGGTATAAATTAAGAAACAGTGGAGCGGGAAGTCATATCGCCCGCGACAAGCTTCACATCGTGGAGCATCAGCTGATCCCAGCGCCACGGACTGACACCAACCATTTACATTTTAACACAGAATAAGAGCCGCGGCCGTGCCCACTGTCACCCACGCCCACCCAACACCCGAGCATGAACACCCACGCACCCAAAACGGGCAGTGTAAGGGCATGGGAGGGCGTGGCAAAAGAATTATGAGTGAAATAAGAGAGAGGAGTTGTAGGGGTTACCTGTGGCGGGCGGCGGGTCTCCCCAGCTCGCCCGGGGAGGCTAACTCAACAGCCGCCCCAACACTCACCCCAACACTCTCTACAACACTATCCCCAACACTGCTCTCTATACTAACCCTAACACCCACCAAAATCCAATCATATCTCACCTATTGTCTCCTCCAACACTCCCTCTAACACCCACCAACACTTCCCTGCTCTCCTAGGGAGGCTAACTCAACAGCCGCCCCCAACACTCCAACACTTCCTCAACTCTCTGTCCAATATTCTCTCCTACACCCTCCTACAATCTCCACAATACTTCCCAACACTCCTCGAGAACCCTCCAACACTCACCCATAACAATATATACTTCCAACACACTTCAATCTATATACACGACGAAGAATTATAACGCCTCCTGGGACACTCCAACATTCCTCCCAATGCCCTCCAACACCCCTCCCTCAACATCATTCAACAAACTATATATCCAACATGTATATATAGACCTGCTTCCCGATATATTTTCGTCAGCATCTCCCGAAATTCACAGTTCCCCTGGCCGGGCCGAGCTGCAGTTATGCATACAGCATATCAATTTACACCCAGTAGGCAACATTGGTCCAGTAAATGACTACTACCTCCATCAACAGTTATAGGTTTAGCCCCAACAATCCCTCCAACACTCCATCAATCACCCTCCAACATTCTCCCCAGGCTAACATAACAGCCGCCCCAATATGCACGTACGCTCGCCAATACTTCCCAGCTCATCCACTCGATACAGTTAAATGCTCTTTCTCATTGTTATTTTTCCAAGGTGATACATGTTGGAGAGGATCGGTAGAAAGACTGTAGGGAAGTGAAGGAGATGGTGGGAAGAAGCTATATATGTAAGTGGGTAAAACGTGCTTAATACACAGGTATATATTTATATATGACTAGGGTTGCACGTATATAACAGACACATACATATACGCACATTTCTCCATTAATTCTCCACCATTTCTCCACTAATCGTCAACCAGTCCTCCACCAATACCCCATTCTCCACCACTGCAAGCTTTAAATCCTAATAATGGCGACCCGGGAGACGGTAAGAGAACTATAGCTGACATGATTCGCCCCATATTCTCCCGCTGGCTTATTTTGCAATATGTTAGCGCCACATATGAACAACTTTCCTTCTCACATTAAAAATGTGACATTTACAATTGTATTTTACAGCTGAGGCTTAAAATAATGTATATAACTGAATTTTTTTTGTGTCGTCTGAGCCAAATACAATTGATTGTACATCATATCCAGCATATATAATTTTCGCCCATATTGATATGTATTCGTGTTCTACTATGTTCTTCACCTAGTCAAAATGTTCCTGCGTGTTCTTAGATTCCTAACTGGGGACAAAAGGACAAAATTAGAGAGGATGACAGTTTTTGTTGACCTTAAATATGGAACAAGTCAGCTTGGGCCCGCAAGCAGATCGACATGTTTCAAGGAAAAATTTATTTTAATGCATAATTCAGTTTTAATCTTATAATTACTACCTTAAAACTCTATCAAAGGTATCTGTGGGTTTTATTTAATCTTTAAAGTCGATATATAGGATACAGAGAAAGCAAAATTCTTAAATTATCTTTCGAGTGGAATTGTTACACCGTTAGTGGGCCAGCTGCTTTCCTCGCTCCAGACGTGCCAACACAAATTTAGTAAACAAAAATTTGGTGGAATATTTTAAATTTTACGGAATATGGCTAATTGTGGACTCTAATGGTAGCAGAAGTTGTATCCAGCTGAAGCAGACATCTTATCTTATATCAAGTTGTGTTATCATGCAGCTTTAGTTTTGCATCTAAACAAAGAATCTAGCTATCAGTAACCATTTATGCAGCCCCTAAAAACAAAGTATTCGACAATTTACATATTTTTGTAACTCTACAGTCAATTTCCGTCCTTTTGTGTTAATTCTAAAATTGTTAAGAGCAAAAATATACATGATCACCGTTTTAAACGAACTCTATGGATAGGTTGGTATTTCTGACACTCGCCATTCACACTACTCATCGCCAAAACACGAATGTCTCGTTCCGACGATTACATCCGTATTAGTATGTTTTACAATGTCTATTTTTCACTGCTGTGGAACAAATTACAAACTAAGAGCTATAAATTAAATTGTGCAATGGTTATTTATATTATAATGATTTATTGTATCCCGATAACACAGTTGGACACTACATTCCAGTTTAAATCTGGAATTTTTTTTTTTAATTAATTGGTCAAACATTTCGTTCAGTAGGGGATCTACTTATATTCTGCATTAAAAGTTTCCGATATGTTTAGCATAGGTCTTTCATAAGACACGAAGAAAAACATAAAAAAAAATGTTGACGAGACGAGAAAATGTAACTGACCGAACTAAGGCTCCTGTGGAGGCGTAAGACATGTCAAACATTATTAGAAATTAATATTAATGTAAATATACGTGCCAATAATTTACTCAAATCTCCAATTTTATTTTATAAAATATTCTAATTGAAACTATTCGTAAAATGTTTATAACTTGCGTAATTTATATTTTAATGCGAGTTTAACATAACTCCTCGCTTGATTGTGTTAGCGTTCTTTGATAAGGAAGATTAAATCTCTTTAATTGCGTAAAAATGTGTATGCTTTTAAGTTGCCATATTGAGCTGACGTTTACAACGTAACAATTAATAGACGAAACCCCTAATCATAATACACACCCCACAATACTTAATCCAGTTTAAGAATTAACTATCGATTATTTTTCCTCAGTAGGCAGTTGTGACCTTTTACTTGAATTTACCTAAGGGCCACTAACATTCTACTGACCTCGACGAGCACGGGAAGCCGGCAGCTTGTCAAGGGTCTCCCCATTTGCCCTGATGATTTTTTCAAGCTAGATTTTAAAGTTCGTCAGAGTTTTGGCATTTACGGCTTCGACGGGTAGGCAGTTCCATCGGTTTTATAACCCTGTGGGTGAAAAAAACATCTCCTTTTTCAGTCCTACATTGTGGTTTATTGAGCTTGAAACCGTTACTCCTGGTATGAATGTTGACTTATTTCTGGAATGGTTGTTGTCCGGAGTTGAACTTTCTTCAAAGAAGCAATATTAGGTGCGGCAGTAAAAAACTAGCCAAACTCTAAGAATAATGAACCGTACCTTTGACTTCTAAGGAATAAAATATAGTTATTCAATTGTATAAATCTCTGGTGCGCTCCTACTTGGATTTTCTTGGGAGCCCAACTACTTGGGCTCCGGGTCTCGGGAGGCGGTCTCGCTCATGCAGGTTGGCAATCTCAGACCGTCCAAGTGGTTAATGTTGCTGTCCAATCCGTCCCCCCGTCCCATCCAAAATCATTATCCTGATCCCTTCCAAGTGCTATATAGTCGTAATGGCTTAGCGCTTTTCCTTGATAGTTACCTTACCTTAGATTATTGTCTCCAATCATTGAGACCTCATCTTCAGAAAGACATTAGTGAGTCACTACGACAGCCGGGGCAAGGAACTGGTGTAGGCCCTCAACACCTACATCAGTTGTGGTGATTCTTAGTTTCCCTGGCTTTATGCCTTCTTTTGATAATTACTTGCATCAGAGCGGAAAGCATCACACTTCCCTTCTGATAGGACCCTATACATGCCTTGTTACTGGCAAGCACATGACACTGCCCGTTTGCTTCTCAGGGATGTAATTGGGGCTTCTCGCTGGCTGTTAGCTGGCGGTGGGGAAGTAATTATCAAAAGAAGGCTCCAAACCGGGGAGACTATGTAGCACCATCAAATGCGGGATATTCAAAAGGTTCTAAATATCACTAAGGACGCTAATACTTGAACAAAAGCACTTAAAGCGAACGTTATCAATTGACCAAACCACATACTAGAAAGTGAAGGGACGACGACGTTTCACTTTCTAGTGTGTGGTTTGGTCAACATATTTCAGCCACGTTATTGTGACTCCTCGTCTGCGAACGTTATCAAAGGTATCAGAGTCTCGCGGGACAGTCGGGAAGCAATGCTCACGTTGGATCCTCACACAAACTCTCTTGTATGATGGGCTTCTCGTCCTCTCGCATGCGGGTTCTTACACTGCCCTTAATTAATTCCCAGTTACTTTCCTGGGTTGGCAGAGTTGTAACATACGATTTTGGACGACATTCAAAACGAATATAATGCGTTTTTAGGTTTATTTAATATAGTTGGCAGCCAGATGACATATCATGATGAGTAAGATGCTTGTGTTATCCCAAAACACACACACTAGAAGATGAAAAGACGACGACGACGTTTCGGTCCGGTCCAAAGTCGATTTGGATGTCGGATGAAACCGGGTAGCTCCAGCAAGGCCGGGATTGTCTGTCTGCTCTGTGGCTATGGGTTTTAGCCACTGGTGCAAGGGTTGGAACTAGACTGACTATGCTGTATTCTCCAACCGTGTTGGAACTTGTGTGTCCACGTGCCCTTGTGTTGGACTTGGTTTTGGTTTGCTGGTTTGCTCTTAGGATATTGTGATCTTGATTTACCTGAGGGCCACTAACCCTAGTGGCCTCGACAAGGTCAGAAAGCCGACGGCTTGTCGAAGGTTCCCCCCATTTGTCTTGATCCTTTCCAGGTATATTTTGAAAAAAACACAATTTTGGCAGTTACGCCTTCGGCGGGTAGGCGATTCCATGAGTTAAAAGGAGACACCACAATACATCAATAGTGCCACAATACTATGTGAACCCCTTCAAGTAGCAAGTAATTATCAAAAGAAGGCATCAAACTTCAAGTCTTAGTATTAACATTACCAGGAAACGATCAGAACAAGAATAAAGTAGTTTCCATCGTGCCCCCAAAGATAGCACCATCTGTCATCAGCCCAGTAGTTGGGTCATGCTCTGGCACTGTTTTCTCCTAAAGCGACTCCTTTCCAAAACTATTCTTTAACTATACCCTCTTCCTACTCACCCAATGAGTATGTTTGCTACATTTAGCCTTAGTATCTGGGCAGTCTCGACAAGATTAGCCAGACCTCACCCTCAAATATACATAACAAAATAACCATACTGTGTATTTGTATCACCCTAGTAATAAGCGTTACATGTCCTTTCAACATCGAGGTTGAACCAAGAGTCCAAGTCAACTGTTGTGGGACGCATCCTGAGGAACTAACTGTTCAACTTGAAAACAAAAATGTTGACGCCACTGTGAGTAGCATCCATGCAAGGAAACTTCAAAAAGAAGTGAATATAATTACCTGGGAGTTAGGAAACTGGGTAATATCCTGGGAAGTAAGTAATTATCAAAAGAAGGCACCAAACCGGGAAGGCTATGTAAATATCCTGGGAAACTTTAACGCGCATTAAATAAATTCCTGCAAGTAGTCAACTGTTGCAGGCGATGAGTCACAATAACGTGGCTAAAGTAAGTTGACCAGACCACACACTAGAAGGTGAAGGGACGACGACGTTTCGGTCCGTCCTGGACCATTCTCAAGTCGGTTGTCACAACCGACTTCAGAATGGTCCAGGACGGACCGAAACGTCGTCGTCTCTTCACCTTCTAGTGTGTGGTCTGGTCAACATGGTCAACTGCTGTGGGTTACATCCTGGAGAATGGCTTGTCGTTGTTGCATGGCTAAGAGGTCCTCGGTAAAATTACATAAAGCCATTAACACAATACTGGCCTCGACGAGGACAAAGCCGATGGTTTATCAAAGGTCCCCACCCCCCATTTGTCCTAATGACTTTTTCAAGCTGGATTTTAAAGTTTAAACACTTTTGGTATTTACGGCTTCAGCAGATAGACGGCACCATGGGTTTATAATCCTGTGGGTTGAAAAGCATGTTTTTAGTCCTGCATTGGGGCTCCTTGTTTGTTACATCTGACCCTTTGAGGTAGTCTGGATCAATATCCTTCAAATTTATCAGTATTTTAAAAAGTTTTCATGAAATCAGCCCTGTCATGTCTGGTTTGCAGTGTTGCTAGCCCCAAGGCCAACTGTTTTTGGGACGAGAGATGACATAATTCTAGAGTGATTTTCATTGTCCGGTGTTGAACTTTGTCCAAAGAAGCCATGTCTTTCTGAAGACAAGGTCTTCATGCTTGGATATAATAATCCAAATAGAGATTTATACAACTGAACAACTATCTTCTTCTCCTTAAAGTCAAAGTTCTGCTTGATTATGCCTAGGATTTGGTTAGTTTTTTTTTTTACTGCAGCACCCACTTGTGTAACTTTCAATGAATGATGGATTCTCACTCCAAGGTCCTTTTCTTCATCAGTCTGCTGGAAGGTAATTTGGTAGTTGTAAGTAATTATCAACAAGAATGATATCGTGCATAATTAAGAGGGACAAGGCAGTTTGTACAATAAGGAACAGGGCGGAATTACCTGCCTGTGAATTAAGCATGTATGGCCAATTCATAACCTAGCCAGAGCCATTCCCCAATGCCAATTACAGTGGTGGGAGGAAGGCCAAGGTGACAAGCTACACTTAAGAGCACACAGATACCTGTAACACAAGACCAACAACCTGCCAACGGTCTCGGATCGAGGAATGAATGACAAGTGCAGATAGCCAACTTAACGGTAATGTCTGCATGCTCATTTGAGCTAATATCAATATGGCCGGGAACCCAGCAAAACTTAATTGCTTTAAACCTACTAGAGATAAGCAGCCAAGTTTTTCGACTACTACAGGATGCATAGGATTAAATGACTCCAGATACATGAGAGCACCGAGTCGTCCACAATGCTAAGAGCATTGACTTTTGAAAAGCACTTGATGAAGAGCATACAAAATCACATACTATTCAGCCATGAAGATGCCGGTCTCCGAAGATAGGCGGTACATATGGGTTTGGTCTGGAAAGATTACAGAGTAGCCTGTTGGCAGATTTTGACCCATCTGAGAATATAGCAACGGAATTTGAGCACAAAGAAAAATGTTCAAGGAAAAGGCGTTTCATAACAATAAGAGAGGTAAAACGTCTTTACCATGTGGGTCAAAGTCTTAGAAATCTTTGTAAGTGGGACCCTCCAGGGAGGCAAGGATGGAATGACATAAGGCTTGTGAGACATCCTTATAAAAAGTTAGGTGGTAAAATGGAACAGGGCCTACCAGAGAAGTATCAGTCAAAGTCCAGTAAGAGAGAATAAGGACACTGCAAGGTAGTGAAGGCTATAACGTGCCACATGCTCCTATAGCGACAAAATGCCAGTTTCAACATACAAGCGCTGGGATGAGTATGGGAGTGCATAGTTTGCACAGGATGTGTTTCAACATACAGGATGAGAATGGGAGTGCATAGTTTGCACAGGATGAGTATGGGGTGCACAATAAACTGCACTCACACAGGACGAGTATGGGATGTACAATATGGTGTACACAATACTCTACCAATCTCACTGAATGAGTACAGTGCACAATTGTCTACTACCCCCACACAGTAAGTATGAAGTTCACATTAATCTACCACTTGCAGGATAAGTGTGAGGTGCACAATAAACAATATCACTGATATCTTAGTAATTGTATAGTATGTCTGGATCATGTCCCCTCTCATTTCTCCTTTACGTACCGTTAAATTTTATTATACTCGGCTCCCTCAGCCCCATCAATATTAGAACTTGTTTTGCTGCAAACAAATGTAGTTTATCAATCATTTTTGTGCATTTTTGAGGCAATAGTTAAACTATGATAGTAAATACTGTAGGTCAGGCTTACATTAGCTCCGTTTTACTGATGACATAGTGTAGGGTCTAGTCACTTGGTTATGTAATATCTCTGATGCCTCTTTCCGTAGCCATGGTAAAATCTGATCTGGTCTCATTAATTTTCTTACATCTTGTTCTAGAATTATGGGGGTATGGAACATGATAGTGAAGGGTTGAACAGGAACATGAAGTGTCGAGTCTGAGGCAGTGTGTGATTTTAATCAGTGAAGGATAGTCAAGAATGGGAATTATGTTGGATATTGAAGGAGGGACATGCAAAATAGTTGAGGGCATTGAAAATTAGTGAAGAACCTCAAAGGTGGAATATGGGGAAGGGCTATGCAAGTTGTTGGTGTATGGAATTTTTTCCCTTTAGTAGTTCTGTTCTGTTCTTTTCCTGTTCCTTTCCTTCTCTACTTACCTGTGCTTGTTGGGGCAACAATCAATCCCTTCACACTAATTTCTCTGAAACAACAGCCATTTCAGTCATATAATAACCAAGTTTATATGTGATAGTCTTTAACAAATGCCTCCTGAAATATCCTGAATATTTTATGTCAGATGAAATGTCTGGAGAAGATAACACTAAGTTACCCCTTTGAAGGTTGGGGTGTTTTCCTGAGAGAACACAATGCCAAAATGATACATACTGCGCTCTGTACACCCACACTGTACTACCATCGCAATGCAGTTAAATACTGTACTCTGCAATTATAATACACTAAAGTATTATACTGCAAATAATTAGTGACTTAATATACAAATACTGTATCTATTAACCCCCATAGTCTGATCCTTTGTAGATCTTATACATATTATTATTATTATACACACATACCCATGTCATTTTGTAAAATTACCGGTATGCAGAAAACCCAAAATATTCTTTCAGTGTAGCCAACCTTTACACCTGTAAACTGTGTAATAAAACAATGATTTATGTACATATGATTGTAATTATTGCAGCTATTATCAAGTTAAGGCTTCAGGGCCCACCACCAGGAAGTGTAGTACAGTATATAATTTTTACGAAGGGCAACGCAGTGCCCAGTCCCCGTTACTTTTTGTGCGAGAAACCCCCTGGCTAACTATGAAGAACTCCTGCATATTAATTGCAGTGTTGAAAATAAACTTCAATAATGCTCATAGCAAGTTTAATTTGCATTTTAATATATACATAAATACAAGATAAATACTATGAACTTGTTACCTTTTTTTTAATAGACTATTAAGGCAAATTCATCAACAATATCAACACATTAATATTAACCAACAGTAGTAGCCAGAAAAATCCACGATCCACAACTTTGAGCAGGAGTCCGAGTTTTCTTAAGGACTATATCCCTTATTCTACAATAAGGAAAGTAACCCTTCCTCACCCACTGTAAGCTGAAGCAATACACCACAGTACATATTATGGAAGGCAACAGTTCTCAGAGTGAGATACTGTACTGATGAAAGAAACAGATGATATACGATAAGGGTAAGAAATGATGAGAGCAAGAAATGACGATGGTGAATGACGATGAGAGAGATGACGACTGATGATGAGGGCAAGAGAGAAAGAGAATGTAACCACAGTTACTCAATATTAATAAATTATTACAAAGTGTTCCCTAAGTATTTAAATGATCATATTATCTATCACAAAACAAAGGTCCTTTGACAGATTAGAAAGCTATTTAATTTTCAATTATTCAAAAAGAGTATCACACACTAAACTTTTTGTATATTCCCCCTATTACAAAGTATATAATGCTTATAGGTGACGAGTCCATACAGAATACTGTATACCATTCTCCAAAACAAACAGGATTACAGCTTACTGCAGAGACAATGCCCATCAAAAGCATAATTAGAAGGGGTTCATGTGGTCAGCTTGTTAATTACAGCAAATCACATTTCTACCTCATAGTTGCCATTTTTTACCTTAAACAGATACAGCTTGTACTAAACACACCTTTCCTGATCACTAATAAAACCTTATAAGACTCACTACAGGACACTTTCTGTGCTCACACATGGAAGTAAATGGATTATCAATTGTTATTATTTACAGTACAGTATGTCATTTCTGAACAGGATCACATGCCAGTACCTAAATAGACTATAGAACTGTACAATTACTAGTCTGCATACAAAATGACACAATTACATAATTATACAATTACTGTTCTGCATGCATAAATATATAATTACTGTTCCGTATACATAATCTTACAATTACAGTTTCATATAGTCATACAATCACCATTACGTATACATAATCATACAATTAACGTTCTGTATACTTAACTATACAATTACTGCTCCATATACATAATTATACAATTAGCTCTGCATAAATAATCATACAATTACTATTTCACATACATAATTATATAATTATTGTTCTGCATATGTAATTATACAACTGTTGTTCCGCATACATAATTATACAATTGTTGTTCTGCATACATAATCATACAATAGAGTGCATCACATTTTTCAACTAATCACGTGTGTTTTATGCTGGTAGAGTTATAGAAATTATGTAATCATATGTAACTAATGTCACAGCAGCAAAATAGTGTTCACTAAACTCCAATATTGTGTTGGGGAACCGGTCCAATATTTTAAAACCAAGATATGCCACTATAACTAAATAATGTAGAGTGCAAACAATCTCAGTACCTTGGAGCTTTAACAAGATAGCAGCTTGAACAAGCAAAGGAACAGTAACCATCTCAAGAAATGGAACAGGGTTATCATGGAGAAAGGAAACATTAACCATATCACGAAATTGAATGGGGATAACCCTTTAGGACAAAATCTTCATAATCATGGCTACAAGCACATGTCCAGCCTTAAGGAAAATGGCAGTGTGGTGCAAACCTTAGAACTTTTAATGTTCTCTTTCTGTTTTTCAGAATTACAAAAGGTCAGGTTCGTCTGCCTGGAAGATATCAGACAAAAATAAATTTGCATCACTTTTACATGAATAAAGATAAAGAACTTGGGCCATTTAACTGAATAACTGAATCATACAGACAAATAACTGCTTAGATGTAACATTTAGAAAAAAAAACCACTTGTTTACAAGTAACATTTAGCCAAACACCTGTTACAAGTAACATTTAGTCAAACAAAAATTCATGTGTGTCATTTAAGCCAACACCTGTCACTATGACACTTTTATCAGGTCCTAAAAAGTATAATGAATGATGGAAGCCTTGTACTTAACGGGAAGATTAAGAAGATCACGTGACTCATGAGTATGTATTATGCAGAAACTATCTAGCGGTAAGTTTAACGTTTCCTATTTACAATGAAACTGCTTCAAAAATCCTAGAAAAAACAGATAATGTTGCCTTGTGTGCATTAGAGCAACAGAACAATATAAACCAATGCAGTTAAACACGATCCCATTTATTCAATATACAGTACCGAAAGACAGCAGTTCCAGTAGACTGGGAAGACGAGACTGGAGGAAGGTTGAGGGAACTGTCGAAGCCTGATAAATAATAATAATATATTTTGGCTGTCCATTTCTGTCCCAACGTGGTCAACCATTTCTGTCCTAACGTGGTCAACCATTTCTGTCCTAACGTGGCCAACCATTTCTGCCCCAATGTGACCAACCATTTCTGTCCCACTCAGGATTTGAACCCTGGATTACCAATTGAGTCAAGAATGAACCCAATAGTACTACCCAGACCCTATCAAATAAAATAACAATCTGCAAGAGCTAAAGTGGGGTCCAAGAAGTGTGGCAGCTACAGTAAGTCAGTCAGTCTTACTAGAGACATAGTCCTCACGGGCTGTAAGGGCCACAAGTTAATGCTCGAGCCTATTATTATACATTTTGTAATGAAATTATAATTATCTACATATATATCAAATTCAGTAGGTGCATTGTAGGATTTCAACAATATATTACACAGTATAACAAATCATTGAACATAGAAATTATAATAAGTGGAACATATAAATTCATTGTGTAAAGACATAGTCAACATTAAAGCATTTATACATAAGTTATGGAAATGAGAATAGGAAAATATTTAAATTTCTGACTTTGAAAACTTATACCTAACAATGATGCAAAGTTCTAATTTATCACAAAAAAACTGGAAATACAGCATTTATGATCACTAAATTGGAAAACCAATACTGTAGTCTATTATTCCAAGATGTGAAAATATATTAGCTGAATAGTTTTTTAAACTACGCTGATAATTCGTACACTGTAGTGCACTATTAATATAATAAATAATGCTAAAATCAAATTAAAACTAGAGAGGTTCTATAACATATAATAACACAGTCAATGAAAATGCCAACTAATACATTCTATTGAAATTAGAGTCTTAAACAACATGTAATCTTTCAGGATAACCAAATCAGAAGTGCCAATGTGTGATTCATGCAGCTAACATACAGACAGAACCACCCTAGAACAGGCTCACAAACTCCTCAATGTCAATTCTGACTGCGTCCTAGCACATGTCAAATGTTGCAATAATAAAGGCACAAATTCGAAACCCATGCATTAAGTTGTAACCCTAAACCAACGAGAAATACAGCAGATGCATACATTATATGAAACGTACACAGCCAAGGATGGTACAGTTTGACAGCTGCCACTGATACAAAAATTTACATAAACAACTGTTAGTATGGTTTAATCAGAATTAAATTGCACAAAAAAACTGATTGTGCCACAATTCAAACCAATCTGGCTGACACTTGGAGAGACTGCAATAGGTGACCCACTTTCCTCATTTACAACCTTATACATTATAATTTTAGTCTTTATCATTGTCCTTGGTGTTTGAGACTACACCATAAATAAAAATGATGGGGAAATAAACAAATCCACAAGGGCCGTGATGAGGGTTCGAACCTACGTCCTAGAGGATCCCAGACGCGCCTTAATCATCTGTGTCACAATATGGTAAAAGAATTCTTTTACCATATTGTGGCACAGTCGATTAAGGCTTGTCTTTGATCCTCTCGGATGTAAGTTCAAACCCTCATCACGGCCCTTGTGGATTTGTTTATTTGATGCATCACGCTATTGTGATTTCTGCGTATTATGGGTAAATACATACCAGTCATCTCTAGAAGCAGTATTGCTGACCCCATTTTCATGACATTTTATAATTAACAGAACAATGACAAGATCTACCTAGTGCAGGACTGGGTCCTCCATGTGTAGGACAAGGTTCTAATTGTGTAGGACAAGATCCTCCATGTGTAGGACAAGAGCCTCTTTGTATAGGACAAGGTTCTCCTTGTGTAGGACAAGAGCCTCTTTGTATAGGACAAGGTTCTCCTTGTGTAGGACAAGAGCCTCTTTGTATAGGACAAGGTTCTCCTTGTGTAGGACAAGAGCCTCTTTGTATAGGACAAGGTTCTCCATGTGTAGGACAAGATCCTCCTTGTATAGGACAAGGTTCTCCTTGTGTAGGACAAGAGCCTCTTTGTATAGGACAAGGTTCTCCTTGTGTAGGACAAGACCCTCCTTGTGCAGGACAAAGGTTCTCCTCATTTAAGATGAGATCCTCTTTATGTAGGACAGCGATTTCCCTTGTGTAGGAAAAGACCCTCCATGTGTAGGACAGGATTCCCCTTATGTAGGATAATCCTCCTTATGTAGGGCAATCCTCTTAATGTAGGACAAGATCCTCCTTGTGTAGGACAAGAATCGCCTTGTATTGGACAAGACCCTCCTTGTGTAAGGCAAGGCTCTCCTTGTGTAGGACAAGATCCTCCTTGTGTAAGGCAAGGCTCTCCTTGTGTAAGGCAAGGCTCTCCTTGTGTAGGACAAGATCCTCCTTGTGTAAGGCAAGGCTCTCCTTGTGCAGGACAAGATCCTCCTTGTGTAAGGCAAGGCTCTCCTTGTGCAGGACAAGATCCTCCTTGTGTAAGGCAAGATCCTCCTCTCATAGGACAAGATCCTCGTCCTGAAGGACAATACCCTCCCTGTATAGAACAGGATTCCTTAAAGCACTGTACATTGGCACTGACCATCTCTTTCCTAGGGGGTTATTCATTAAGAAAAATAGTCTCAAATCATTTCACAATGCAGAATATTGTCAAATATTTCCTATGGTTTTATGAGTACAGTGCTGTAATTCTGCACTAACACTGCATGTTCAAAGATAATGACCACCATAATACGTAAATTAATGCTCAGGAATCTGTAATTCTGTATTTATATAACAAGAGTTTGTGAGTTGCATTCTAAAACATGCAAGCTACTAGCAGCCTCGACGAGGAAAGGAAGTCGTGGCTTGTCAAAGGTCCCCCCCATTTGCCTTGATGATCTTTTCCAGGTAGATTTAAAAACTTAACACGATTTTCTCACTTACGGCTTTGGTGGGTAGGCGGTTCCATGGGTTTATAACATCTGATCCATGCGTTCCATGGGTTTATTACATCTGACCTTTTTGAAGAAATTGTCTGGATCAACATCCTCTAACTGGTTTAGTATTTGAAATGTTTTCATTGAGATCCGCCCTGTAATGCCTGGTTTGCAGTGTTGTTAGCCCCGTGGCCTTCAACTGTTCCTGATACGAGAAATGACTTACTTGTACACATACTGTATATGAATGTTAATTGTTCTTCCTAAAGCAACACCAAAATTGTCATTAAATCTTTCTCCAAAATTTATGGTGTCACCTTTCAAGTTATTACATGACAATAAAACTGAAATATATTTATGACACAAACCAGTAGGCATACATGACACACAAACCAGATGGCATACATGACACACAAACCAGATGGCATACATGACACAAACCAGTGGGCATACATGACAAACCAAATGGCATACGTGGCACACAATCCAGAGGGCATACATGACACACAAACCAGAGGACATACACAACAAACAATCCAGAGGACGTACATGACACAAACCAGTGGTCGTACATGACACAAACCAGAAGGCATACACTACATACAAACCAACTCAGGCATGTAACAGTCTCATTAAAGTAATATACTGAAAACAGAGGCTATTCTTAAGTCATTTTCATGCTAGGTTTCATGAAAGCAGGGCAAAAATATCACATACCACTTTGTAAAACAGCCAGAATATATTATATATGATCTTTGACTATGTTACTGATTTAAAAGAGAAATCAAAAGTGTAGAGAGACTGACGGTTCTCTTGATTTACCACAACATACAAAATAAGGGGTACTAAAATGCACGAACCCAAGACCCCCCCCCCACTTAATCTAACTAACCTATCGATAGAAAATGAGGATATTTGTAAGCCACTACTTTTCATGCTGCCCTTCATTATGTATGTTGGGGCCATAGCAAACAAAATGAGATGAATTAGTTGAGAGGACAAGTTGGAAACTACAGTGCAAAGGCAATCACACTACCAGGTGCATCCCTAATAAAAATACGCACAATGAAATCACAAATATAATATACTGTTTATGAGAAAGTATTGAGGCCGTACGATGGAACACACACATTCCTGGATGCCTAAGGGAACCCAGGGGTGTGGGTTGGATCTCACTGTATGGCCTCAATATTTTCAACTAAATATAATTTTCCAAATCTTTACCAGAAGAACAATTCCCATTCTTTCAAGGTGTACTGTACCAGATAACTCTAAAGTGCATGCAGAACAAAGAAATAAAAACTCTCAATAACATTACCATTGTAGCTTGTGAGACGGCCAGTTTTCAATTTTCTAAATACAGTAATTACAAAATGCATCTCGTCTGAATACAATGGAACATTACACTAAAACATTTAACACTATCTTGACCACAGTACAAATAATTAAGAAATGCTCATACCAAACAAATAATTACAAGCAGCATTGATTTTAAAAACATGCATTTAGTAGTGCATGAATGACAGAACATAAATATGAAACAAGTCTACACCAGCACACCATAATCTATCAAGAAATCATATGCAATATTAACAGTCTGAAATTCTAAACAATGCCACATGTTTATACTGTATTTCCATTTTGATTTAGAAAGATACCATTTTCTGAAAGTTCCTAAGAGTTTTAAAGATAAAAATATTAATGAATATGTTATTGACGTTCATTAGTTTTCAATAAGGCTTAAAAAATGAACTGGCAATTTAAAAATGCAAAAACTTTAATTATTATATAATGAAATCAAAAGACACCTTTAGTAGGCAAACTTTTGGGAATGTGTTTGTCTTTCAAAACTTGATGGAATGTAGAGTAATAAAACAAAAACAAAATACTTTCAGCAGCAAGTGTCAAGCCAGTAGTCACATGCAATTGTAACCGTGTGTGTGTCATTTACTTAATATTATATCAATCATCTCAGTTATAATACTGTATTAACATGGATAAACAAATATTCAAGGTAACTTTAAAACTACAAGATTTTGTTTTGACTATCCATACTATTAATTCATCTTCATATGAAGACAGTACAGTATGACCACAACAGGCTATTTGCTCAACAAATTTAATTTTCAAAAGTGATAGTAATATAGAAATGAAGAAAACCTAATGCAATCAAGGCCAAATATAGTTCAAATATGTAGGCTACTATATTAGGCCCATGTTAGATTAAATTAGGCTTAGGCCAAGTAAGAAACTTTTTCTATTCTCAATTTTTTTTCCAATGCACCATCCTAATTATCAATTCATCTTTTGCAACTTGGACCAATTGTGGGCTGTTTGATGTGCCAGTGACCTACACATACCATATTATTGTTACATGTGCCATTGTAAATGGAGGATAAGTTGGTATAAATATACCCTTTCACTATTAACAAGTTCCCAAAAATGTTGGATAACATGCCACAAGAACTTGGGCTGTGGTGTCACTTACTACTCTTGTGATGTCCCACCGCTATGGAGATGTGCCACTGGAATAGAGATGTGCCACTGGAATAGAGATGTGCCACTGGAATAGAGATGTCCCACTGCTATGGTGATGCCCCTGCCATAATTTACTGCACTCTTATCACCTATTAAAATATATTTGATCAATGTACTGCAGCATTTCCTATTTAAACCGACAATAACTCGGACTATTTCGAGAGACGGACTCAAAATCAATAATGCATCAAAGTTCTAATCTAAATATTACAAATGAAACATTAATAAAAGTGACAATTGCAAAAATAGAAGCTGGAATTTACAAGGGTTAAGAAGCTACCCAAGAGAAGAGACTTGTCCAGTTTGCATACAGTCTGCAACAATGGTCAAGAGTCTATTAACAATTAAGTTAAATACAATTTTCTATATAAAAGTATTAATACCAATTTCCATACATTCTTTAAATCAACATAATATTATTATATAAAATACTAAGAGGTGACATACTAATCTGATTCCTGCTACATAAAACCATATTACTGAATTGTTTCATTATTATACAAATTATATTTTTGTTGATACAACAGTTGAGATATAAAGAGTACATGATGATAGTTCAAAGCTCACCTAGCTGGACAGCCTGAAAAGAGGAAACAGTCTACCAATCTACATAAACTATATGAAATATTGTACCTTCTTTATGAGAAAAAGATAATTGTACTGCAGGATGCAGTGCAATACTCATGCATGCATCAGTCAACAGGGCACAATATGCTCATGCATTCACCAGTCAACAGGGCACCAATATATATGCTCATGCATTCATCAGTTAACAGGGGCACAATATGCTCATGCATTCATCAGTCATCAGGGCACAATATGCTCATGCATTCATCAGTCATCAGGGCACAATATGCTCATGCATTCCCTAGTCAACAGGGTACAATATGCTCATGCGTTCACCAGTCAACAGGGCACAATATAATATGATCACACATGCATTGGTCAGCAGTCCACGTCAAGCATCAAAATGCTTGTCACATGGAACTATTTGGCAAAATTAATATCAATGCACTAAAATTGTTCCACAAATGAATAAACAACAGCTCACAATGAATGTCAAGAAAACCTCAGCTTCTCTTGGCATTGTAGAGTTGTGCCTTTGAGTTTTGGTGGCACTGAACTCGTTAGATTCGTAGATATTGGCTAAAATTGCCAGTCTGGGCTTCTTATGCATCACTGCTAATGGTTATACACCTTTTGCAGTAACATTTTCATTCAATAATACTGTTTGATAACATTTCAGCATTTGTGTTTCTAGAGGTTTGTTTCAGTTACACCAGTCTATCCATGAACACATTATCATCTGCTGGTGGCACAAACCCAAAATAATAGATAACTAGAGACTGAGGGGAAGCATCACTATAACACATCCATATTACGATTAAGCTTCATATAAAAATCTGATATGCAGTATTGTTCTACCAGTATTGGTGGTGGTGATGTCAAGCACTATTGGACTTCACAAAATCTAACAATGGTCAGCTCATTCTCCAATAACCAACACCATTGTAGAGAACTAAAAATGAATAATTTAAAGTTATAAAAGCAAATCCTTTGTATCAAAATTCTTCTTATTTTACTTCAAAGATTACAGTATTATGATGCTGAATTATGCCAACAGTGTATTCACCTGAATTGAGAGTTAGGTTCATTTATATATATTTCAGAACATTTACTATAAATTATTTACCATAGTATGAGACACATTATTCCTTCAAATCAGTGGACTTAGGAAGATAAATTATTAATCACCAAAATTACTCTTAGCGTCCTAATTTAGAGAAAGGGTTCATGCCTCGCTTCAATGAGCCGAAACGAGTGCCCCCAGTGGTTCTCAGATCTGAATCATCTTCCTCAGGACTTTGAAGGGAATCTCCACCTCTATCAGTCTCTTGTCTGTTCCTTTCTAACTCGCGGCGAACTCTCTCTATTTCCCGTCGGCTATCCTCCAAGGTAAAGTCTTCAAAACTCATGTTAGAAATTCCAGCAGATTCAAAACTTTGATTTTTCTCTGGTTTATCAACTTTCTTTTCTAATTTCTCAAGTTTTTTGCTTTTCTTGCTAATTTTTTCTTTCTTAGAATGCCCAAATTGTTTCATTGGGAGAACCATCATATTTTCTTCTTCAAATTCTTCACTAATGTTTTTATATTTTAATCTGTCTTTACTGCGATCCCTATGTCGAGGTTTTCTACTGGTTGTCACAGCTCCTTCATCACTGGAGGTGTCAGAATCAGAGAGTTTTTGGTGTGTAGCCCTGGGTTTGCGGAAACTAGGGGGTGTTGATTTCTTCAGTCCTTTGGAAACTCTGAAATCACCAAAAAACTTTTCCACATGGCCATCATCATGTGCCATCAGAGCCATTTGTGCTTGAAGAGACGAACTCATGTTAGCTGGTAATGTCTGGCTTTTCCCACCTGGTATTTGGCCTGTTCGTTGTTGATGACCTATAACTGGTTTAAAAGGTACAGCACCAAATAAATCAGCATCATCCAAGTCGGCCAAATTCATCTCTTTCCCTCGAGAAAGAGAATGGATTTTGACAGAGCGTGGAGTGGAAGTATGCATGGGAATATGAGAGGTTACATCTGACTGGTTGAAATATTGCGATTGACTGGAACTTGCAAACTTTGAAACACCATTTAAGACTGTTTGACTGTGGGATGAAAATTCTTTGGTATCATTGGATGGAGTTGTTGATATTGTAACATCACTGAAGGGTGTGGATCCAAATAGATCTGTACTCTGAAAGGAGGGAGAATTAACAGATCCTGCAGCAGAGTTTGGAGTGAGGGAATCTAAACTTTGAGACATTGCACCTTGATTCGGTTGAGGAATTTTACGTGGTGCACTGGGCAAAGTCTGTTCTGTCACAGCTGGTGACCTTCCAGACTGACTTGATAAGAGCCCTGGTGGATCTTGTATTTGTGGATGGGCAACTGCTATTGGATTCTCATTGACAAAAGGATTAACAAACGGGTTTTTAGTGGGAATAGGAGTAACAAGTGAAGGGGATTCAACAACTCCAGCTACATGGAAGGGAACGGGAACATTCTCATAATGGTGGTATTTTGGAGGAGTTGTACCATTTTCTATACTACTGCCACTTGGATTCAATACAACATTTTCATATATAGGAAACTCCTCACTTGGTGACTCTTCATATATGATATCAGCTTGAACAGGTATTCTAACAGGTTCAACAACTTGCTCCAACATTTCTGGACTGCCTAAATGAACAGGAGCTGGGGAATTGTTTGCCATGGGAGGCGTTATAATTGGTTGGCTTGAGGATTCTAACGGGGATACGGTGTTGCTTGATGGCTGACTACGGCTCTGAAAGACTTTTTTATTCAACTTCTTCAGTGAAGTTTTGAAAGGAGCTAAGGCAAAGACATCTTCATCAGCCACATATTCCCGCTGCTTCTGAGATTCATCCAGTGAAGTTTTCCTAAATGGCCTTGGAACATGGAAAATATTGGAGCGGACTGTCAGTTGGTCTGGCTGTTGGGAGGGCTGTGGCTCTACATGTGGATCTTCTTGGTCATCAGAGAGCTTATTTTCCTCCTCGCCAGAATCCAGTTCATCGTCTTGAAGGAGAGGTTTTTCTCCGTACTCGTGCCCTAATAGCCTGTCCTGAGCACATTTTTTGTTCTCCTGTTCTTGTAGAGCTCGAGCACGGGCCCGCATGGCTGCCTTACTTGGCTTTGGTCCACGTCGTATTAACTGGGTAGGGTCGCAGTTCTCGGCAGTCTGTGGATCATCCTCGTGAGTTGTGACACTCTCACACTCTGCGTGGTACACCGATGAACTTATGGTTTCAGAGATGTCACCTCGGTCACAGTTATCATAATCATATTCATCATTAATCCTTGCTTTCAAATCACTTGCTGAGCCTATCGAGTCATCGTCAGACACACTACAGATGAAGACACCGTCGGGTTTACCATCCTTTGTCACTCCACCGGGTTCACCTTCTTCCTTCCTACTCTTCCCTCTATTTTTTCTCTCACGGCGATGTCTCTTTTGCTTGGTATCTGCTGTTTCCTTCAATATCTGTTGTGTCTGTTGCTGATCTTTACTCCGGCCAATCCCATCACCCTCGCCTTCCTCTTCGCTCTCCTCATCGTGGGTGTTTTGCAGCTTCTCATATTTAGATCTGGGGAGAAAATTATTGAAATGTTTGATCAACATCCTTAATCAAATATTAGTGCTTTTATAATAAGGATAAACATACATGTTTACCTTGCATTAAAAAGTAAAATGGAACCCAACTCAAAAAGACTAAAGTAATATTGGATTCAATGGAAGGATTTCAATATGGTAAGAAAAATAAGTGGAGTAAAAAATAAAATATATTATATACAGCATATAGGGCTTAGAATAAAATGATAAGCTACTGTGCAAGCCAAAGACCTGATCCACCCAGGAAAGACTCAATTATACCAGGTCTCTTTCAATACATTCTGGTCCTGTATGTTGGGTAGGCCTTCAGAAGCCACCAAAGGCCTGAGTGTTACTAGTGGCTCTAATGAATCAGAGCCTTTAGCCAATGGAAACCATTTAGGCCCCACCTCAGAAAAACACCAAAATAGCAAAAAAATGGGAAACAAATACAATCCTCTAAAAATTATTTAACAATACAGATTTCACAGCAATCCTTTGTGGTATTCGGATTTTTCTCTGACAAATCCTACTTTGGTGATTTGATGAGTGAATTTTATCTTATTTTGATGAATCTGCAATGCCGATTTTGGAGGTTCCACCGCACATAAAAATTGACAAAATTAAAATGAGTGAATGTGACTGCATGAAAAATATAAAAAATCAATTATTACTACTAGTACTATTGTAACTACCTGTAGTAACTATTGCATGTGCATGTACATGTGCAATAATTACTACAGGTAGTTACATCAGAAAAAATAAAGGCCTGCACCTCAACAAAGTATTGTGTAGGACAAGATCTATGTTGACCAGACCACACACTAGAAGGTGAAGGGACGACGACGTTTCAGTCCGTCCCTTCACCTTCTAGCGTGTGGTCTGGTCAACATACTTTAGCCACGTTATTGTGACTCATCGCCTGCACAAGATCTATGTTGTTGATGCTCACCTGTCTTCAAGAGGCGGCCGTGTAAATGGTAATGAGGAAGGTCCAACTGCCGTCTGGTCAGCTGCCGCATCCTGAGAGTCTTGGGAGTCCTGAGACGACTCACTGGAACGACGACTCTGCTCACACACAAGTGGAAGCACAGTTATTGTTGAATCTGTGAAGTACAAAGCCTTTAGTAGAATTTTTCCAAGATAAAAATTATTAATTGCCATGAGACAAAAGTCGTTTTATTTACTTAGGTCATCTTTTGCAAAGTATGAGAAAAAGAACATGATTGCATTTAAAGAAATGTATTGTGGAATTGTAATCAAGAGGCATCTAATTCAATACAGTAGTAGTTAGGTAAATTACAGCAGCATGATTCGGTGAAGATGCTGACAATTACACTCCAGTTATAGATCCGAGACATCAGTTATCCAAGTTAAGCAAATTAGATTTTCCTGCTGTGAGTGGAGATGCATGATTCATAGTACAGTATATTTAAACTTTTATTAAATGTTTTTCGATTGCAAACACAAATAGAAAATAGCACTGGGTCATCTGCCATCATTAGTTCTATGACAACTTTCCTGAAGAGTTTAATTCAACCCAACTTAGAAAATACTGACACTGGCAAAGTGCATATTTCTAATTTGGATATTTGACACTTGCTATACCTACATTACTGTACATAAATATTTATAAAAATTATCAAGGTAACAATGTTGAGCAGAGAGTCTTGTTATTCCTCAAAGCTACCAAGGATGAATCAGTGTGCCATTTCACATATCATGGTTCATATAAATACTGTACCATGCTTCATATAAATACTGTACCACGCTTCATATAAATACTGTACCACGCTTCATATAAATACTGTACCACGCTTCATATAAATACTGTACCACGCTTCATATAAATACTGTACCACGCTTCATATAAATACTGTACCACGCTTCATATAAATACTGTACCACGCTTCATATAAATACTGTGCCACGCTTCATGTAAATACTGTGCCACGCTTCATATAAATACTGTGCCACGCTTCATGTAAATACTGTGCCACGCTTCATATAAATACTGTGCCACGCTTCATGTAAATACTGTACCACGCTTCATATAAATACTGTGCCACGCTTCATATAAATACTGTGCCACGCTTCATGTAAATACTGTGCCACGCTTCATATAAATACAGGCAGACTGAACCCTCAAGTTATTTAAATAATTGTCAAAATAATTGTCAAAAGAAGGTCCCAAGCTGGGAAAACTATTTAGCATCTTCTGTGCCACACATGAGCGAGTAATAATAAAAAAACGGCACCAAGACCGGGAGACCATGTAGCACCATCTATGTTGAAGGACATTCGGAAGGCCCTAAATATCACTTGGGATGTCAATATGAGTCAAAATATTAAGACAAGTGGCATCAAAGGCATTGGATTCACCATGGATTCTCAAGTTATTTAGCTTACAGCTGAGAGGTCTGATTCCAGGGTAACCACCTCAGCTAACCCACTACCTACAGACACAAAGTCCTACCTCAATGGCTACCTAAACTCTTGTACATGAAGTGTCCAACATCTGGGTAGTCATCTTCTTGCCTCTTTCTCTCTCTCTCTACCATCTCTTATCTATTTTAAGAATAAGCTTATTGTTGTGTTACTGTGTATTTTACTTATACTGTACTACCCTCTGGCTGTCATTAAAGATATACTAAAACACTAAATATTTCTGCTTTCTTTCTGCCTCTTACCACCTCCACCCTTTTCTGCTTGTGTATCTTTCTTACACATACACTTGCCAGTTCCAGAAGTTATTTAGCTGACTTCAGTTCCAGAAGTTATTTAGCTGAATGTGTTTACATTTTCCAGTTAATTGATGTGTTGCTTTAAATATGAACACCAGAGAACTGCTGTAAATTATAATTTTGATCTCATAAAGGACAAACATTTCTTTAATACTTTACCATCCATGTATTTAAAAGTGATTCTAAAGTTGGAGAGCATAGCTCAAGCTCCTAGCACAGTGTTCTTTATGTTCTCCTCAAGTGACAGCTTTCTAGCCAAAACCACCCCTAGATCTCTTTATCAGAGTTCTTTAAAGCCTTTTCACATATAGTAATTTACAGGTTGTGTGGGGCCTATTTTCTCCTATTCCACATCCCGTAATGTGTCACTTGTACACATTAAATTCCATGTCAAGAATTACTCCACATATTACCCCAAAATATGACCATTTTATCCAGGTCATCTTGATGGGTACGACAACTGTCTTTTTTTCCTCATCTTCCCTAGTAGCCTGGCATTATCAGCATACGCATTCATACAATTCTGTATTCGTTCTAGAAGATCGTTTACATAGACAATGAACATTACTGGTGTTAGAACTGAACCCTGTGGTACTCCAATAACATTTATCCAGTGATATATATATATGCCTGTGATTAATGCTCTAATTTTTTTTTTTTTTTTTTTTTTTTTTATCTATGCCACCCCTCCAGTATGATCCAGTTTCCAGAACAAACCTCTTGTATTGTACTGTCAAGAGTTTTTTTTTTTTTGTCCAGATAAATGCATTGAACCCATCTCTTTCCTGTAAAATCTCTCTTATCATAGAAACAAAGTAGATTCTTTACACAATCTTCCTGTTCAAAAATCATACTGCCCGTTATTACAGTACCGTATATCATTTCTCCCCAGGTGTTCTACCCATTTGGTTTTAATTAATTTGCTAGTGTTTTGACTACCTGCTTGTCAACAATACAGATTTATAATTAAGAGGGTCTTCACTGCTACCATTTTTGTAGATAAGAACTGTTTACCATTTCCATATAGAGTACTGTACTGTACTGTATCTTCCAAAACTCCTGTACATAAATGCCTGTGGTACTGTACATGTAAATACCTCTCGATGATACTGAGGATCAACGTCCAGCATCCCGGTCTGACCAGGCCTCCTGGTTTGTGGTCTGGTTAACCAGGTTGTTTGTTGCAGCTGCTCACAGCCTGTTATGAGTGTCACAGCCTAGTTGATAAGGTATCCTTTGAAGGTGTTTATCAAGTTCAAGTTTATCAAGTGCTCAGCTCAGATGTGCAGTCTTTCAGAACTGAAGGTGAAACTATCAAGCACAACTGCTATGTTGTTTCTACCTACCTCTTCAAGCATTTTTTCCATTTTGTCTCGAGACACCTCTATATACTTTACGTTATTCTCTGAAATTCATATTATTAAGCCTGGTTCCCTGAAAACTTCATTTTGCACGCGCGCGCACACACCATAGAACTGCTTGCTCAGTGTTTCACACAAATATTTTCAGACTACATACATACATTCCTTTTCATTCTCAGTGAATCTGTTCTCTATTTTCAAAATCTGGCTTTTACATTTGACCTGTAATTTGCTTTCAATGAATTTATAAAATAGGCCTGGTTCTGTTTTACATTTCTCTGCTATCCCTTTCAACCATTCTTTCTGCCTCTCTTCTTACTGCTGTGTAGTTGATTCTTGTTTGTATTGCTGGTATATTCAAAGGTTTGGTCTTTTCCTACATTGATTCCAGTTTTCTGCCTTTTGTTCTCTGGTTCTCTCTCAATTTATAATGAATCAATCCTGCTTTCTAGTTTTGTATGTCTTGTATATATTTTATTGGACTTTCATCATATATCTCATTTATTTCCTTGTCTAGCAATAAATCTTTCCAGCCAAACTTATTAAAGAGCTTACTGGTCCCCATAGTGTCCTCTCTAGAAATCAAGATTTTCCACTGCTTCCCTTTCTTCAATCTCTTCTAAATTATATGTATTGAACATTTGATTTCTGAAACGACATGGCTGCTTGTGCCCATTGGAGGAAGGTATTGAATGTCAAATACAGTATCTCCTTTCCTGGTACAGTAAATACAAAATCTAGCAAAGATAGAGCATCCCCTTCACTCATTCTCATGGGCTGTTTTACATGTTGATACGCGTGACTCCAGGATGAAATTTAAGAATCGGCCAGTCCAAAAGTCCTCTTCTTACTTCACAGGCTCCCAGTTTATCAATTTCAATTTGCTAAATATCAATAATCATGATTTATCTTTTTCTACTTTCACAATAGTCTCTCTTGCGATCATTATAAGGCCCTCTCTTTTGTTGTCTAGTTCTTCCTTATTCCATGTGTTACTTGTTGGTGGACTGTAGGCAGCAATGATTTTAAATTTATCATCTTGATGGCAGGTCTTAAAAGCATTATGTTCACTTCTCATGGGTTGTCGTGCATCACTTCTCTTACCTTTAGTCGGTCCCTAACTAGGACAGTAATCCTTCTGCCTTTTCCAGTTTTTGTCCTCTCCAAATAGTGTAATTTCCCAAGTACAGTACTGCAATTATAAAAAAAAAAAGACAAGCTGGGAAGTCTATGTAGCACCATCAGTGGGCTGGATATTCAAAAGGTGCTAAATATCAACTAGGATATCAATATGAGAACAAAAGTACATAAGGCAAGTGACATCAAAGGTGCTGTATTAGATTCACTAAGAATTCTATTGAGACACATTAGGAAAGCAAGATTCCTATAAATCAGGACATTCTACAAGGAGGTGAATGACCAGGTGGGACAATGCAGTTTGGACAATAAGGAGCTGGGCAGTATTCCATCAAATGCCTGGGAGTAAAACATGTAACCTAGGCAGAGCAATTTTCCACTATTACAGTGGTAGGAAAGGCACCAGAGTGGGGCATAATGCAGTATGGTGCAGAGCATCAAGATGATGAAGGATCAAAAGAGAGGCAGAGGAGCAGGTGGGTTAGCCATGACTGAGTTTAAACAGTAGGGAAGAGGAGTGCAACAGAGTAGTATGTGTATCACCTTCTTAGACAGTATGAGACAAGACTAAGGAGGGTAAGGATCTTAGAGCATTCAACTTGGCAGTACTCACCTAGTTGTGCTTGCAGGAGTTGAGCTTTGGCTCTTTGCTCCTGCCTCTCAACTGTCAATCAACTGGTGTACAGACTCTGGAGCCTACTAGGCTATTAAATCTACATTTGAACCTCTTGTATTGTACTGTCAAAAGTTTTTTTTTTAGGTCCAGATAAATGCATTCAACCCAACCATCGCTTTCCTGTTAAAATCTCTCTAATCATAGAAACCAAGTAGATTCTTTACACAATCTTCCTGTTCAAAAATAAT